ATATCCACAATGATCTCTCTTTTTCTTTATAAATAAGATAAAAGCACCTACTAGAGATTTCAAATGGCATATGAGGTTCTTAACTAAATTTTTTTCAATGTATTCTTTGACTACAGCCAACTTACTTTGCAATAAGATATAAATTGGTTGTAATGACAATTGAACTCTCTCTTAAAAATCAATTGAATAATCATACAAAAAATATCTACATTATTTTTCTTAAAAATATCTTAATAATCTTAATATTGATTTGGAATGCTAATTATAGTCTTTTACCATGAAAAATGTATGTGGCGTATATAACAAAAGGTGACTTTTTTTTTTTGTAACATGGATGAAAGCTCTTGCATCTATCAATAAGAATTTTTTTGTATTAAACTTATAGGTTTCTACTTAACTAACAAAATCTTTGATTAAATTATAAAAAAATTCAATTTTATAAAAATTCTATTTATTTGAAGGTTATACTTTTTTAGCGATGATCATCCTAAAATAATTAAGTTGAAAGAAGATCTAATTACATTAAATATTACTAAGATATCATAATCATTAATTATTATATCTAAAAGAATAATTTCATTGATTATACTTCTAAAAGATAATGAACAATAATCTATTATTTCTACATGCATTGATTTGAATTTTTTAGCTAAAGATATTTCTTATTTTTTGACAAAGTCTTCATCTATAAAATAAGTTGAGGCTCTTGAATCTAATAAGGTAAAGAATTTTTGATTTTTTGGTCTTAAATAAATTTCCATTTTAAAGCAAGATAAAGAGTTTGTAAAAAAAAATGACCTTTATTAGGTATTGTACAAGATTCTAGCCACATAGTCTCTATTGTAGCTAAAAAAATTGGTTTTTTATATGTCATCCTCTTTGAAAATCATATTCTTTATTTTGTGGTTACATTTTTTCTTTAAATAATATTAAGTAATGTGCTTAGATTTTATATATAAATCTTCTTGACAATATAAGGACAAACATTCTTAACAAGATTGAATCTTTTTTTTATTTAGTGAAGAAAATCAATAAAAGCTCTTAAAAAAACTTACTAACTTTATAACTTTGAGAAAAACCAATGAATCAATGCAATGCCAACTTGACTCAAAATTTAAAAATTTCAAGATTTATAAGAGTATTGGCTTTGCATCGCAAAAAAATATCTATGTATATTGTAAAAAATCATTAATAAACGTTACAAAAGAATGTTCTTCCTAGAAATGGTGGAAAAGAGATCCACAAAGATTGAAATGGATTACTTACAAATGAAACTTAAATTATCAAATAGTAATTTTGGACTTTTGCTGGTGACATTGTTTCTTTTCTAAACAACTAACAAAAAGAGCTAGTGTACCAAAAATCAAGAAAATTCTAATTGCTACTTCATTTATGGCTATTGAGTATAAGATATGTTAATTTATATGCTTCAATCTTTTATGACATAATTTTTCCACCCCTTATAACTAAATGGTACAAATGAAAAATAAAAGATTGTTTATAATATAACAATACAAGCATGTGATTTTATCTTGTGTCTTTTTGCCAACAACTTCTCTTGATTTTTTGTAAATCAAACACTTGTCTTTATCAAACACAAGAATGAATCCTTTATCAGCCAAACAACCAACTAAGAGAATATTGCTTATTAGTTTTGGCAGATAGTATATATTGCTTAATTTTATTTTATTTGAATTGGAAAGATGTAGAATGTCAATCCCTTCTATTTCTAAGATATAACAAGAAGCTCATTGTATGGCATGAGTATTGGTACATTATTTTAAGATATTAAATATCTTATGACTATGAAAAATATGTTTGGTAGTGCGACTATTGACTATTCAATTGACTACATATTTTAGATCCATGCAACAAAAGACAACATCAAATAGATTGGATGCTTTGAATTATATTGTTAGTTTAGGTTTTGTGTACTTCTCAATTACCAAATTAGAGTGAAACATCAAGGAATTATTATAGAAACTTTGTTCTTTGTACCTTCAATAATTAATATAATTATAAGCACATCTGGCCATCTCGCAACCTAACTTAGGACAGTTGCACATGAAGTGATTCTCCTTATTGCAAAAATTATAATAATGAAGTTTGTTATTTCATTTACTGCTTGGATTTTAAAGATGTCAATGCATGGTGCTTATATAATGTCCTATGTAATGTCTATTAGTAACTAAAAAGAAATTTTGCATATAGACTACAAGGGCATTCTCTTTAGTAGTAGTTGTGCCATACAATTGTATACAAAATTTTGTGTGTAGAAGCCAAGTAGTAAGAACAACAAAAGATGGCATGGTATTGAATCCAAGGATATTTTGATACATATTTTTTATATTAAAAGAAAGTATATTGAAAATATATTTTATTAATTTAATATCTTAAATTAGATTATCAATTCCTCTAAATTTTAATAGAATCACTTAGATTTGATGAATAAACTTTAAAACTAATATTCTTTCTACAAGACGTATAGAACAAAGTTTATCTATAAATATTAGTTTATCAAAGTTGATATGTTACTAATAAAGCTAAGCAAGTAATGCTCAAGCTATATTACAATCTATGCAATTAAAAATACTTAAGAATATATATTTTTAAAATTAATATTAAAGAATAAAGATCCTTGATCCATTTAAATATTACGTAAGAGGCTTTGCTAAGTTGGGGAGGATTTCTCCCATGAAGATTTATATATCTCTATGTTCTTCTTTTTATGAGTAGCAATTTTATTCTAACCTTTTAGGTTTGATAGTTAGTTTTGTTGATCTTAAATGGCTTTGGAAGAGAATCCATTATCATAAAAGATCACACAAGTAACAATCAAAACAAAAGGTGTGAGAACAACTCGACTAGTCATATAGACCATTATTTTTATCAATACTTTAGTTTATATCATACAAACACCTAGCAATAAAAAAAACTAGAAATGAATGTTCAACTTAGACTATATTCTATAAAAAAAGATATTAACAAAGGTCATTGTTACTGACATAGACATTGTCCAAGAAATGGCCCTTCTCACTTTGATACCATGTAAAAACTAAGATGATTTAATAATTTGTGTCTAATCATACAACTAGTAATTCTAGTTTGTATTATTGAATTTATAGAAGGATTATAAAAGTAGTAAGTAGTTACTATACTAATAAGAAGATAACAAGATTCAATCCTATTTTTGCTTCTAATATGCTCTTTTACTATTCTATCAAGTAGGTTTATAAATTCAAGAGAGGAGAAGGTGATAAAGCATTTTTTGCATGTAGATTTGTTTTTTTGTTTGGTAGATTTAGAAGGACGTTCTACAATGAGAATGGTATAGCATTTCATTATACAACTATTAGATAGTAATATTAAAAACCTTACAATACCATGATTAAATTTGATATGAAAATTATTGTTAATTTTAAGAATCTTTGGGATAATACTAGTACAAGTCAACTCAACTTTCTCATGTTGTTTAATAATATCAAAAAAATTATCTTCCAATTCAATTGAATCCCCACTTATGTAAGAAAGTACCATTTGTAACTACCTATGGTACCAATTTGTTTCAAATTAAGCAATAGATATTTGATCAAAAATATTTATGAGAGAATTTTATATTCATAAAATATATTTAATTCCTCATAATGATGCAAGTTCCAGGGTTACAAACATCTATATACACTCTTTTATATTATTAATTAGTTTTTAATCACCTTCAATCAAATCACCTTATTCCATGCTCTAGATTGTTATTATATATTACCATTTAATTAAACTAATTTTATTTCACTAAGTTTAGATTATAAAATATATTCTCTAAAATATTACAAGGCATCATTTACAAAATCGTAGTTCTAAAGTGGACTAAAACCATCTTCACATATTCTATAGCAGCAATTGATTTAATGAGGTGAAACCTCACCCTTCTGCAGCATAATTAAGATTGCACTCATATGCATCCGTGAAGTATCAAGAGATAACAAATAGAAACTGAAGAAATGTTCTATAACTAATTAAATTATCAACAACTGCAAATATAAAATTTGAATATTAACAACTGCAAAACCAAATTTGTTATAGAGGTTTAACATCTATATATGGATTTGTCAAAATGTAGAAGAACAATTTGTGGTGCTTCACAATAAAGCTTTTTAAGTGTCACTGCAGTAGTATTCTAAGCAAAGGATTCTTAAGACTTCTCCAAGTGGCAGACTAGGCATCCACCACAACTTTGGCCCTACACAACTTCCACAATACATTGATTCCCACATTTGGCAACTCTTAACAACTAAAAGAAACTATCAATGTCAACTTAACCTTCAATTTATGTATGATGGAGACTTAGCTAGTTCCTTCAATGTAAAGCTTCTTAATAGTTTGCCACAAGCGCAGTGGTTAAAATCAAGCAAAATATATAGTTAGGACAACAAAAGGAAAGAAATAAGCATATGATTTTCATGATGAATAGTTTGATGCTTAAAGAGATCGAAACACAAAAACCATGCATTCAAAAAATTTAAAACACATGACATTACAAGTATGTCATGTTGTCACTTGTGCAATTTAATTCCAAAAACTTCATTTTATAATTTTCTGTTGCCTTGTCAATATATTCCAGTCACTTTTCCATTTCTCTTCATCCATAGCCACATCTTTATACAGGGCGTTGAGTAACCTCCAAGAAGGTAACATGTGTGGTTTGATTCTTCGTTACAATTGCACAGTTTTATTCAACTTCAGTTTCTTCGTGAGGAAACATGCATTCAACCATTTATCCATTCATTGCAGAATACCGATATCAACGACCTGCATTGACGTAATCAAAGTCAAGGTGGTGTTTGCAGCAACTTTAGTTGATTAGGATACTAAGTGAAAAATTCGATGATTCTACCAATATATTAGCCTCCACGTGGTGCATTCTTTGGCCCCCGATGTATACAATCCGGAGATAAGATGGTCAATCTTCACAGTGCCTCCACCAGGCCCTGGAAGTAGGTCCACATCTTCGTCCTTATTAACATGAGAGATGCTGATCTTACACAACAGAGCACTGAAGTAGGTTCACACTCATTCCACATCCTACCTTATCGCGCTTCCATCTCCGCAGCTTACACAGTTTGACGTGGTGTTCGCGAAGCAATATCAGTCCCAAACCCTGCACATTAGACAATGATTTGAGAGCATAGTGCAGTCTCCGGCACCTGATATTGGCTTCCTAGACCATTTGGATTCGAGACCACTTAGTTTGTGATATTTGAGTACGACTTTGAGAGGTTTGGTGTCTACCTGTGGCGAAAAAAGATGGATAAGATCAAAGAGATGCTTGGTATTTGTATGGAGGATGACGATGCTAAGACCGTGGCTCCAACCATCACTAGCCAGAGGGATGCCCAGCCCACCCATGAGCACACCGCCCCTCTCCACCACCAGGAGGAACACGAGGAACAGAAATCGAAGCTTCCATCTGCACTCGAAAGTCGCAAGAAGGTATCTATCAGTCTCGTGCCCATGATGCGATTCAAAACTTTCCTGCTAATCTTCTAAAATTTGTTGCTTCGGTCACCAGAGCTACTCAATCAAGCTCAGACGGTAATCATCCAGCACGTTTGGCTTTGCTCCAAGGAGAGACCTTGCAGGATGGGTTCACTAGCATTGAACGACGCAAGCTCAGATAATCGCTCAGCTGCTAACAACTGTACATGTGGATATCCTACTCCTGGAAGAGCTCTGGGAGGAAACATGGATGTGACATGTTGCAACACAGGAATGAAACCACGAAACATGAGTGCGGGTTTTGATTGATGTTGTGCAGGAAGAAGGGAAGTTACCGAGCACCGATTCATCAAACCGAGAGAGCGAGGAATCGAAGGAGAAGATCCAACTGCTATACAAGAAGCTTGCTCACCGCAACGCTGGTCTCGGTGGCGTTGACGTCGTGCCGGAGCAGCGGCACGGGTTATTTGCTTGAGCAGGTTACCTATACATTACATACTATTATTCATAATGTAAAAAACCAATAATATGATTTGAGTGCATTTCTTTTTATCCCATCAATGCCTTTCATTTAACCACAGTTTTTGTAGTTTTTGTTTTCATCATTATTGTTATCATCATACTTTCCTGACTTGAAAATCCTTCTCCATTATTTTTATTTTTTCAATGTTAATAGTATGCTTCAACTTACGTTTGACTGAGTTACAGCATGCTGTCCTGTAAGATAGTGAAACCGCAAAATATACAACCACGTAGCCGACGGTCTTATGTCCAGACAAAGGCACCAACCCAATGTAACTATGAGCGCAGCTCAATCCCCTCATTCACATGGTCGTTACAAATCACCAAAGCGTGGATTGCAAAAAAATTGCATGTACCAATTTTGCACTTGTCATCAGCAGGGAGAAGCAATATTGAATTAGTGGCTGGAATCATTTTGCTGGTGTTTGAAATGGGTTGAAGAGTATTGTGTCGAATCATGTGGGAAAATAAAATATCAAAGCAGGTGAAGATGAATTTGCAGTGCTTAAAGTGGAAGAAGGATATTGTGGGGTGCGTTCCAAAATATGATTCTCTATTGATCGCAATTCACCAGCCTTGAGGTACCCAAGATGGTTACTTCTACTTCAACTCACATTGAACTTCTACGCAGATTTGAAATTGAGCATTTCTGCAAACAAGGGGCTTGTAGTTGCTCCATTGGAATAAATTTATGTATGATACAAATATGATGACTAGTGCTTGTGATCAAGTTTTGCACATGTAGGTGTAAATGGTCGGATCACTAGTTGTGGTGTTCAGAATAAAGAATTGGTATCTTGCTGATTTATGATGGTTGGCAATATGAAGAACAATAGAGTATAGAAATGGAACTGTTTTGCTCCAGTTTCACCTCTGCAGATGCTAATGAAACCTTGACTATGAACATGTTTTATACCTATCAACATGTTTTAATTGTGGATGATTAATTAGGATCTATTCAAAAAATATTGTGTAGTAGGAAGTTTCTGACATGAAATCTATTTTTTTATGATCATATTTATATATATAACTAGTATAAATAGTTATTAGTTGATTTTTTAAATAAATTTTTATCCTTGGTGATATTTTTTATATTTAATCTTAAATAAGTAGTGTTAGGATATTTCTTATCAAGATAAACCTTGATTGATGCTACATTAATAATGGTAGAATATACTTATTTGTATGAACTATAAATGTTTTGTTAAGTTTTAATTTTAAAATACCAATACTTGTAACAATTTAAAGAAGTTAATCTTAAAAGTGTTGTGTAGTAATATAGTCCACAATAGATTACAAAACCATAGAAAGTCCCATATAGACTAGTTAGATGGTAGGACAACAAATCTAAGTAAGATTTTTAAGTTGAGTGCAAGCTAAAATAGAAGTGTTATTCATCTGATTTGTAAAGATTCTATTTTTAAATATATTGTTATTTAAGACTAACATTTAGTCAATCACAAGAGAATTAGAGAAAAGAATTAAAATCAATTAAGAATAGGGACTTGGAGTTACAAGTGCTTGTGTGTTATTGCATGTATCAAAATTTAGTTTAAAATCAATCAAGGAAGTGTATTGCTTATGTTAGTTAAATATTAGGAACTAAAAAATAGAGCTTTGATTAATACATGTAATATTAAAGCTAATAAATTTTGATATTAGGAGAGACTTTATTCCATATTATTATAATTAGTAAAAATCTATATCTCAAGAAGTTCAAGATAATGAAATAAAAAATAGGTTATTTGGAAGTTTTGTAGCAAAAAACTTAAAGAATTTTTTTGAATGGAAGTAGTCAGTGAAGCAAGACTACTATTAATAATCTGAGAATAAGAAGATAAAGAAAAATTACACAAATTAATCAATTAGTTAAAGAGAGAGAAAAAAAATTGAAGAGATTTATAAACACATAGAGTCTTAAAGACCTTTGTAGGAGGATAGCAAAGAAGAAACATAGGTTGAGAAAAATAATCTTAAAAGAAATAGGAAAAAAAACATGCTAAATAGAAAATACAACTATTACAATGATTTAAAGCCAAATAGATGATCTTGGTTATGGCCAAAGAGAAGGCTGAAACAAAGATCAAAGAAAACATACGATTGGAAAAAAAATAAGTAGTAGTTTGGATATTTTATAATTCCAATATGGAAGTAGATACATTAAGTAGATCAAATAAAATAAACCTAAAATTGATTTATCTAAGATATGAAAGGATATTAAAAATAAAAATAGTAGTTTGGATTTTTTTAAGAACATGAATTACTAGCACAATAAAAATAAAATTAAGATAAACATAAAATAAAATAAATGAATGTCAAAGAAATCCCTTATGTAACAATATTTAATAAAAAAAAGTGGCTTAATTTAAATTCTAATGGAAAAACTATATACAAAGATTGCAATTTTTTCATTTATATTACTTTTAAATTAAAACATTACTATTTTTATATAAAAAGATCTAAACAGTAATCATTGTACATCCATCTTTAAAAATAAAATAAAATAAAACTTCTCTTCTGTTGCTATTAGAGGATAGAAAATAAGTGAGAAAATAAATCTTAAAAAATAATGACTCTCTATGATGTCTTTTTTCTAACCTGACAATTTTAAATGAAAAAAGCAAGAGCTGAGGCTTTTTCAAAATAAAGAATAATTTGGATTAGAACCTATAGAAAGGATATAAAAATAATAATAACTCTTGTGAATTAATAAATAAATAAATAATATTTTTTTTACCAAGTCCAAAGAATAAAGTAGGAGAGGCAAAGAAAAAGAAGACAAATGGTTATTACAACATCAATTTGTTCAAGGTGACAAAAAACATTAACAATGACCAAAATTAAGGAGAAAAGAAAAGAAAAAAAAATAAAACAAAACAAAACAAATTCTTTTTAAAAAGTAATAATCTTTAATAAAGAAATAATATCAAGTAAAAATATGTCATATTAGAATATATAAGTAGTGGTTTTGTAAAAATTAAGAATAACACTCCTAAGACAAATCAAGCTTATAAAAGAAGAAGATTTCAAAACAAGAATTTTCTCAATTGAGTTTCATAAGAAATTTTTTTATTTAATAAATAAATTTGAATGAATTAATATTTTAATTTAAATTAGTACATTAACTATTAAATTGTGTCTCAAGACTAAAATTGCCTTGTGGGAAGAGAAGCAAGGTAAATGTTACTTATGTCTAATGAACTAGTCAAGTAAATACGGTAGTAAAAGGAGTAAAGTATAAAAACAGTAGTATGAAACTTTAAGCAGATCTTAAGATTTGTAGCCACAATATCATAAATGTAGTCTTATAAAATATACGTTTAAAGGACTATATATTAATATTATATTGAACTTGTTAATACTATCCACTTATTTAATATTATATATTAAGTATATATAATATACTATTAATATATAATCTTTTAGAAAAACATTGATATCTAATTATTTAACATATAACATATTATTAGAAAAGATTAAATTTTAACTATACAAATAAGAAAAAAAAAAGTATTATAATTTATATTATTTATAATGATGATGTTGATTCATTCGTGAATATAGAATACTTGGAACTTTGTGATATTTAAAATTCTGTAGAAGTTTATAGAAATTTATTCTTTGTTATGATATAAGCTGAAATTGATGGGAGGATTTGATAATTTCTTGATAAAAACAACTATATATAAAAAATAATAAAAAATAAACTTCCTTAATGTGGAGAAGTCAATTATGAGTAAGAGCATAAGACTTCACGTGCTTGTACATTTGCTACATGTGTCACAACTTGGTCAAATACTAACTAATGACATATATTTTGAACAAATTGAACGACACAAGCTGAGTGCAGATTGGATTGTCAATAATAACAAGTCGCTAAGAAGTGTTCAAAAAATCTTTTAATTTCTTATCTTTGTAATTTAATTTTAAGCATGACTTCAGTTGAGTTGTGCATGTGCTGCAAGTGATAACGCAAAATGGAGTCAAGTTTCTGTATTCTTGGTGCCAATTAAAACGATCACTTGCCTCCGAGTCAAGTTGGGAGACCTTATACAATATCTTATCTGTATTTGAACGGCACATTTCCATGGGGCAACACTCTAGAATTGCAGACTTCCTTTTTGGTCAATGTTGGATGTGCCTGAGGACAACACTGTATGATGCTTGTTGTTACCTCTCATGATGCATGTCTATGTAAAGCGCGTTGGAGTGCAAGGGTCGTCTTAATTATCTTTCGCAAAATGACTTGCAGCAGGACAATAGTTTATACTGAATTCTGGTTGTCTTCGGATTCTCGAGAGGGGAAAAGGTTACGAATCTAGCAATCAGTAAGAAGCCCGTCACAGAGAGCATATCTCACGCAGGAATAAATTAGCTGATTCTGTTTTCAACTAGCTGCAGATCGTGGACGCTCTCAAGAGTTCAACTATGAGGAAATGCCCTCGAGGTGATGGAAACTAGCCTTTGACACAACCGAGGGTGAAGAACTCATTGGCAGGAGGAAGAATAATTTCATTGCTAATTCGAAAAAAGAAGCTTCGCATGTAATCTTGTTCTAACAGTGTGAAAAACTTCAACACTTATTGCATGATCGATCAGAATTGAAGAAAACGCCGCAAGCTGAAGTAAATGTCTTGTTTGCTGTACAGTGGCTGTCAGGGTACTGCGCGATCGACTACTGTCTACTTACACTTTCAGCATAATTCTGTCTCATTGTATGAGGAATCACAACGACACGTATTTTTTGGTCTTATCTGGAGTAAGTGAATCTCACCAAGCGTCCACGATTCTTGGTCGTAGCAAAGTCTAGGTGAGAACGGCAATAGTAATGACGAACAAGGTTTATGTGCGAGTACATGTCCCACAGCTAGTCACTAATGGGAAAGCGATCCCATATATTTGTGTATTGAGCTGCCATAAATGCCGGCAGAATGCACCAAGACAAGTACTTTAATGTAGACACTGTCTCACCGACTCTAAGCTTTTCTTAAACAAGACGTTAAGGATTCTACGATAATAATAACCCAAATCTGTCCAGCTTGATCTAAAATAAGGAGAAGCGAAAAGTCCAGTCCAAGTCAAAAAAGAAAAAGCATATCATTCAAAGAAAGTGGAAAGGATATCAGGCTGTCCTGGGATGCCTCACGGTTTTGTTTGGCATGGTTCGGAAGCAGCAGCGATTCCAGACTTCGCGTAGCTAGCCTCCCAATTCTGCCCATCAAAGGTCTTAATTTCAACACTAGCTAGAGTGCCTGGATCGACGCATTTAACAGTCACAGCCACCCCATCTGGATTGGAGCGAGGGATATAGAATGAAGTGATGCCACACACTTTGCAGAAGTAATGCTTTGCTATGTGGGTGTTGAAGGTATAGAGAGTCAAATAATCTTTGGACGACTCTTCAAGCTTGAAATCACCGTTGGGAACAATAAAGTGAATGTTTCCTCGCATCGCACAATTAGAGCAGTTGCAATTCCACGCAACTACGCTTGCCGGAGCCATCACCTCAAACCGCACACCCCCACAATGACAGCCCCCACGATGCTGAACTAGACTGTCTGCCATTGTAAAAGAAGATGATGCTTCGACGCCTAAAGATGGCTTATTCGAATTCCTTCTCTCTCGAGTCCTCCCCGAAGTCAGAAAAAGCTTTCGGGCTTGATTCCAATTGCGTGACCTCCAAACCGCACCTGCAAAGACTCTGAAAAATCCTCAAAACAGAAAAACCTCCGAATCCGGTGAAACGATCGTAACAACTTAAATGTGCTAAACTGTCTACTGGAGCCCCAGCAACGAAACATGAACATATTAACAGCGAGTAGAATTTACCTCAGTTGCTGCTGCGTTAACTCCAGAGCTCAGGGTTTCACAGAGCCGCGGCCGTCGTTCACTTTACTTCGAAAAAAGACGATTGTATCAGACTCACCACCCACTAACGCTTTCTGCGTATGCGAAACAACTCAATAATGTGACACCTTCATACACCTACACAACCATCAAGATTCGGTCACCTGGTTAAATACCTCCGCAGGATTGCCCCACCGAAACACCGAGACTGAACGTCTGGATTCAACAGGAAACACGAGGTTGCGATCTCAATTTCTCTTGTGAAGTACAGAGCTACAAATTGTGGGTCCCGAAGCAACGTACGCGAAAACCCACACGCGCAAGAGAAATCGAAATGTAAGTGAATGCACTGCTCCGAATCATTGTTGAGTCTGTTCGCTCGACCGAGGCAGGCACAAGATGCAGATTTTCTGAACGTCTTGAGGTTGGGGGTGAGGGGAGAGGCGGGCACCGGTGTCCGCCTTCGTCGACGACATTGGTGTTAGCCCTTTCTCCGCAGTTACCCTGATTCTAAATTAGGTAACCTGTTCCTTATTTAATCAGAGCCAAGGTCTTCCACTAATTCATATGTGTTTTGTTTTAAAAGCCTTGCAATGTTATCAAATATTACAGTTTTTCACGTGTTTTTTTAATTTGATCTTTGATTTCTAACAACCAAAAAAAAATCTTTTACTTGTTTATTGTTTTGACAATATTAACTCCATCGCTATACAATATTGCTAAATAATTTAATAAACAGTACGTGTGCATTTTCATGCCATAAAAAATGGCATAGTTTCGTAGGAAAATAATAATAATAAATTAAAATTTAGTAAAAGTGAAATGAATTCCTAACAAAATAATACAAAACGCCGTAAATAAAAGATGTTTTCTTTTCGTGGAATATCGTTACTTACAAGACCTCCCACAATATAAAGTTCCTAATCAACATTTTACAACCATTGAAAAGATCTTTCCACTCAAGTAACTATGAATTTAGAATATCATGTATTAAAAAAGTATATGTACCACCAAAAATAAAGCTTAGAACCTACGGTTACAATTATTGTTTACACACACACCTATCTATATATGATAAAAGGAACTATCATCTTGTTATTCTTGTATAATAAGGCATGTAAGAACATAATCATACATTTCAATAAATAAATAAAAAAAATTACATGAATTTTGTCAAGTTTTTCTTTTCAACCCAAAATAAAACTTGATTATAATCCCAAACTACATGAGAATAACATTTGAATCCATCATTTCATTTGACATTTATACATTAAAGTTGGTGTATTACTGAACACGCAATATGAAAAATTCTCCCACATGAAGATGATAAAGAATTACGAGAGAAAAAAAATACAAGAAAATGATAACTCAAAAGCAACTTAGACATGGAAATTTAAATCATCTAGAGACAGTTTTATTTTTTTTAATATATAAAAAGGATAAATTAACACTTCGTAAAAGTACACATGGCAGCGCATCAGTGAAAAGGCTCGCAGTGTGTGAAAGAGCGCAAGCCAGAACTGAAGCAGCATGGGTGCCGAAATGGATGAATGATAAGTGAGGATGAGATGTGGAATATCGAACGAACAGAGAAAAGTTGGGTGAGCGGACAGAGCGAGGGCAGCGGAGCTCCGAAGGAAGAACAGGCTTGGACAGGCAAGAGGAGGAAGAGGACGAGGACGAGGCGAGAGGGAGGGAGGGCCCAGCAGCAAACAGGGGACACTCACACACACAGAGACGGAGAAACAGAGAAACAGACAGACAGATAGATAGAGAGATAGATAGACAGGCAGGCATCGCGAGAGGAGAGGAGAGGGAGAGAGAGCGAGAGGAAAAGTCAGAGCGATTGATTGAGAAGGCCCGTAGAAAGTCAAGTCAAGCCACAGACTTAGTGAGAATCTTTGGTGGGTGTTGCCGTAAACACCCCCAACTCGTCACACCACCACAATCAGCCTAACAACCCACAATCCTGTGTCATTCACCCTGCATCGCCCTCATACTCTATCTTCCTTTCCCCTTCCCCCCTCTTCGCGCACGCGCTCTCTATCTACCTTTTTAGTTGTTAGTTTGGGCGTTTCTCGTCTTATTAGGGTTTTCTGTCGTGGTCCTTTTTTCTGGGTGTTCGCCTTCCACCCACCTAGCTAGCTCCATGATTGATTGCTAACTTCTCCTCAAGGGTTTCGCCGTCTGAGCCCAACCATGGGAGCTCCCAAACAGAAGTGGACCGCGGAGGAAGAGGCTGCCCTCCGCGCTGGGGTCGAGAAGTATGGACCAGGGAAGTGGCGTGCAATTCAGAAAGACTCTAAGTTCGGCCCATGTCTGACGTCTCGTTCCAACGTAGACCTTAAGGTATCCCATCCTGTCCCTCCCTCCGATTTTTTTATTTTTTATTTTATTTCCCGCCTTTCCCGATTTCATGGCTGTTTCGCTGCATTTTAGCCTTTGTGACAACTTCCACAGCGATCGTAATTTTACGCTGAGCCCTCGACGTGCTCTACTGAATTTCTCACAAACTGGCTTATGGCATGCTCTTAAGTTTTTACGTAAACACAAAAGAGTCGATGTGTCACCTTTGGAATTAGGGTAAGTAGTTGCTGTATACCTGTTTCTTTATCGAGCGTGGGGTTCAAAACGAACTGATTTTTGTTACTTCATTTGGCTCCTCTTTATCTACGCAAACCTTGGCACATGACGACCATCGGACTAGTACGGTTCCAACTTGAGTATGCGTTAGGTTTTTTTTTCGCCTCTCACGCTGGTACAATCCGTTGATAGCATCCACTAAGATAAGCGATTGCACCCAGTTGATAATAAGAGCGGGCGAGCGATATTTTTCACAAACCTATCGCTTTGTGGTATCGCATCGATAGTCCACGTGAACGCTGATGGTTGTAGGGTACTGTCTCTGAAGTTATAAAGGTGTTTAATTTTTCTTTCTTAAGATTTGTAAACGGATGTAAACAAAGGTCATGTCCTGCAGTGAGTATTAGAAGGGCTGTGAGCTACAGAATTTTGAACGAAATGGTAAGTTGTAGCAGTCCACGAATATGATGGCTCTCAAGATGGCGAAGAAGACGGAAATAGTTCGGGATAGTGTTTAAGATTGGCTTGGTTGTTTTGGAACGGTATTTTTTGTTCGTGTCTAAACGACCGTGGAGGGGCTGTGACACGATCGCTAGTGATAAATATCCTCATAGATAGTGTGGCCAATTTTTTTTGTGGATGAGGCAGATTACAGTCCCACCTGCACCACTCTTGCGTATCGGGTGTTGTAAAAGCCTTGGGTAAAGGTGTATTGACAATCCTCTGGTGGCTGCTGGATGGCAGGATAAATGGCGAAACATGAGTGTAAGTGCCAATGGGCTGGGTTCAGCAAGGAAGCCCTTGGCCATAACTGCTGGACCTGGGATGTTGACCTTAATGGAGGATGTAGCTTCCGTGAAACCTTTGAGTGTTGTGGCACCGGGAGATGAAGGGTACGTGGTGAAGAGAGAGAGCGCGGATACATCAGGAGATCGCAAGTCGCTTGGTTCCAGGTAGTATTTTGCCTCTTCGTATTTTTTTCTCTGTTGCGGTTAAGGGTGTGATTCATTTCAATTTTGACGGCATTGCGCATGCAGTTTTAGTGAAATTTAGTGTTACTGATGCTGTTCCATGGCAGGTATGATAACATGGTCTTTGAAGCAGTGTTGGGACTTAAAGAACCATACGGATCCAGCAATGCCTCTATTGCTAGCTACATTGAGGTAATTTGGTAGTTCGCTTGTGGAATGGAGCTGTGCTGTGTGCCCGCACACTTCCTACCCTTTGGGTTCGTTCGTGCTCTAAGTAGTTGTGGGTTGTCTTGTGTAACAATATTTTTGGGTTCGCTAGTGCATTTAATGGTTCCATGTGCCTTTTCTTTAAGGATACTCTTGTAACGAACCGCCTGTTTAGATTGAGTTTAGTAACAGTGAGATAGTCTACTGAATCCTCTCTGCAAAAATGTCAGTATGTATTTGATAAGCGGATTCTGTGGATATTCATTATGTTGTGGTCCTGGTCCATTGTCATTTGATTTCGATGAGAAGAAGACATCGTTATTGTGCCTCTTATCCTCATGTGACTTCTGTTCCAATTTAGTTATTATTGTATACATAGCGTTTGTTGTCGTTCTTTTTGGCCTTCTGAACGTCTGAGTGGGTTGTTAACCTGATCTTTAGGAGCCTGTCACATGGGGCTACGTCTTCATTGCTAACAACTGCATCTGGAGAATATTCATCCATAAGCAGTTGGATACTAAATTTGAAGGATGTAGTGGTTATGGAGAGGAACTAATTGTTGATAGCTCTGTTGAGGTTATTGAGTTGGGACAACAGACATCGCTCAATCGCCACTGCGCGTCTGTTAGTTTGATGATTTCCTTAGATATACGGTTGTAATAAAATGCTGATTAATGAACTGTTTGATTGTTCCAGGAGCGGCATGCAGTGCCTTCAAACTTTCGGAGGCTGCTCACAACCAAACTTAAGTCGTTAGCTCTCTCAGGGAAGTTAGTAAAGGTTAGCTGTTCTTCCAAGCATGAAATTACGAAACAGGCTTGGCAGGTTTTCTGTCGTTGCATGCAAGTAACCCGGGAGTCTATCAAATATTAAACCGAAACGAACGGATCTGCGTATGGAAGATGTAGGCTTCTTACAGAAGCATCACCCAGGGGTCCTTTTGAGAAGTAGTAAATCTGTGCATTTTGAGGTAGCGTCCCGTTTCGAAATCCGTCCACCTTCGGTACCAGTCGAACTGCGAGCTGTTTTTCGGGGCTGTTTGAAGGTGTCATCCTCGACTAGTATTTTTTTTATACCCTTGGAGCACAGGTAGTGGTCAGTTTGGGTTCCCTTTTTTCTTGTTGACTCTGAAGTCATGTGGAGAAGTTGGTCTCATTTTGTAACTTTGTGAGCAGGTGAGGCAGAATTACAAAATGAATGAAGGTAATGAAAGCCCATCGTCGGTCGCGGAGGAGCCTGAAGTGAGGGAGAGGGAGAGGGAAAGAGAGAGGGAGCACGTTGGCACAGTCAGCGATGGCCGTGTACAGAAAGGGTCCCGCTTGAGGCGGCAAGAGGTTCACTGTGACGACAGCAACAAGCCGCATCCTTCACGCGTTCCTAGAGATGCGTGGGACCTTCGGGATAGCTCAAAGAGAATAAGGCCCGAAAGTTTGCCTTACAAGAAGCCAAAAACGGACATTGAGCATCTTGCTAGGGCCAGGGCTAAAACTGCCGAGGAGGCTGCACGCGCAGCTGCATTGGCTGTCGCCGAAGCTGAAGCCGCCGCTGCCGCCGCAGAAGCCGCTGCCAGAGAAGCAGAAGCTGCTGAAGCCGAAGCCGAGGCTCTCGAAGCCGCTGCCGAAGCCGCTGCTGCGGCAGCAATCAGACATCCAAAGAAATGTACGTGACAGTATGATGTTTGAAACCTTAAGTTCTTGGTCAGAGATGAGGTTGTGGCAGTGATGATACTAGGCGGCGACTTTGTTACGAAGTCTTAGAAAAGAACGATGAACACATGTAACTTCTGGTCGTGTTGCTTTACCACATACTGACTCGATACTTACGGCGATGCAACAGTGCGAGCGATGGCAATCATGCAAGAGGTCGCAGTGAATGGGTAGGCAAATAATTAAAGCTTCCCGACATGCATCTAGGGGTTAGGGGGCGACTGCTTACTTCTGTCAGATACGATGAAGTTAAACTACAACCAGGTCACCACATATTCCTGATGTCAGGCCAACTGTATTGTAGTCGATTCGGCTTGTTTATATAGATGTCAAATAGCTTAGATCTTATATGCTAGGGAAGTAGAGGTAGTGTATCTAGATTTGATGTTTTACAGCTTCGAGTTTTGCAGGGGTTATGGATTTTCTAGCTCAGCATTTGTATCCTAAACGATAGTGTACTTTGTGAAGGCTGTAACAAGGACAGCGACTCTGATGTAAATCCCTCAATCCTTCATGGTTCCTCATTAGTGCTCAACATCCTTATATACAGACGATTTTCCTGATGATTTCATCTCTTTTATTTCTGTTTTTCAATTTCTATCTCGCTTGATTTTGATTCTCAATGAGCTAGTTTACACACGACTTTGGTGTAGAGTTTGTGACATTGGCAATGGATTAGAGGGATTCTACACTGCAACAGAAATCTAGACTATTGCTCATATTTACTGGTTTACAATCTTGTGTTTTATTTAACGTTCGTTTCCCACTGTATGCTAGTGTAACCTCTATCAGTATGTCTCCTTACTGATTGCGTGTTAGGAGAATTGGGTTTCAGTCTCTTTGGGTTTTACGGCTTTGATCATCTAGAGAAGTCTCACCCCAATGGGATGTAATCGAGTTTGTTCTTTATGAGCTTTAGACAGGTTCATTTTTTGCTCATTTTGGAAATAAAAAATAAAAAAATAAATCTTGCAGTCGTTTAACACAATCATATTAATAGCAGGAGTGGGCACATTAAGACATATTTTTTACCATGTATTTCACAAGGGATTGTATAGAACACTTGTATTGAAACCGTATGTAGTAAGTGGAATTTCGGTGTGTCTTTTTATGATGATGTGCATCCTCAGTCTATCTCTTAAACTCACCACTACATACCCACTTAGTAGTTTGACAACAAAGCTCAACGAAACAAGCTTATTTTTACGTACTTACTCTTCCTGAGTTTTTATCATACACAGTCATCAATTCAATGACTTCCAAAAACTAACAACGCACACCAAAAAACACGTGATATAACCATGTTAGTTTTCAAACCGTGGAAGTATGCAAGTCACAACACACACAAAAGCAATCTTTACTACTAAGATGTCATGTCAACAAGTACATCGTATATTAGAAAAATACATCACGAAAAAGCTAGAAGTTTAGTACACCTGTAATATAAACATAACAAGTCCGATTAAAAGACTATTTGGTTACCTTTCATCTACAACTACAATTTACAGCATCGTTCGTTTTGAAGAATCACAAATTACCTTTCCTTCGATGAATGAATAACACACGAAGGAAACATCATGAAAATAACATTTTGGATGAGTTGAATACATGATGAAGAAAGTTCAAAGTTGTGAAAAATACTATTCGATTCGAATCTGACGTGGCAGTTAGAAAATTGATCATTAATGGGAATATTACTTTTTTTACTTGGGGCAGCAGCGATGAATCAGGTTCGGAGAACCCGAAGCAGGAGGCCTGGGGATAGGCTCGGCAGAAACCCTAGAAAGCCCATGCTGCTTGCGTTAGTTGCTCTGTCTTTGCTCCCCCTCTCGAAGCCGAGCTCGCAATTCCGACCTCTCCTGGTCGATCTCAACCCTCTTCACCGCGCTACGCTCCGTTCCCGCTATGGTCAGTTATTATTTCTTGCTACCTCGCCTCGCAGCAATTTTATTTTATTTTTTTGATTTTGATTTTTTATATAGAGCACTTCGGTAGCGGTTTGCCACTGAATCTCGATTTCTTTCCCTTCGCATTTTCTAGCTGGTTCCTGCGGCTTGTTTTGCTTGTCATGTGAAGTAGGTTAGACTCCTGAGGATTGCCGGATTCCAGTTGCGGCATGTTATAATTCGAGTGCGCGTGGCTGATGTTGAATCACGAGCAAGTGCTTGAATAATGTGTGGGAAATCGTTTCGGTTTGGGGATAAACTTGTTGCCCTAGCTTAGGTTTACATGTCATGGATGGTTGGATTGTGAATCTTGTTTTATTTTTTTACGTTCCTGCCAGTTGTGGCAGATTATGATTTAATAACTTGCGGGTTGCGGATGCTTCAAGTTCTATAGTTTAGGGTTCCTGAGTTAGAGCTGCGCGTGATCAGATTGTAATTAACTCTGGACGCGCCACATCTGTTGCTGTAACCTAGTTGGTTGCTTTCTTTGACAGACTAAGCGCACTAAGAAGGCCGGGATTGTCGGAAAGTACGGTATGTAATGTTGAAAATATTTGTGTGCCCTTTGTATCTCATTGATCTTTTTCGTGTTTTTGGCATGCTGGACTGTTGAGTGGTTTTAAGTGATTAATGGGAAGTGGTTTTAAGTGATTAACTTTGGCTTACGTTCGCCCTGATTTGTTCAATTGCTTAAGCTAGTTGGGTATCGCGTTTTTTTATTTACGAAACCCTTCAATCTCGTTGATTTTTGTCTAATTTACTTCCTTGGTTTGCAGGCACACGATATGGTGCCAGTTTGAGGAAGCAGATTAAGAAGATGGAGGTCAGCCAACACTCCAAATACTTCTGCGAGTTCTGTGGAAAGGTGAGCATTCATCAGAAGAACAATCTTGTAACTTTGGTTATTTTACAGGTCAATTGTGAGGGTTCAAATGCAATGTCAAATCCAGTTAATTTCTAAGGATCGTATAAATCCAGTTAATTTCTAACGTATCATATAATTATCCCATGTTACTCTGTTCATTTATTTCTTTTCCCTGGTCTCTTTAGTTTGCTGTGAAGAGGAAAGCAGTTGGAATCTGGAACTGCAAAGATTGTGGCAAGGTCAAGGCTGGTGGCGCTTACACTTTGAAGTAAGTGCTTAATCCCTTCCTTATCTTAAGAGGTGTTATATTCACTGGCTGTCTAATTAGTTTCTTCAGAGGTTCTGGTGTATAAAGTGTTAAGTATAAACGTAACTGTAAAGCTTGGATAGTACTTTGGCTCATGTTAGAAGAATTTGCAATATTGGTACAGAAATATTAGTAGTTTTGTCTTTTTTGATGTGTTGAAGCTTATTATATTGGAATCCTGTATTCGACTTATGGAAGATGTGCGACCCTGATGACTTGATATGTTTCAGCACGGCAGCGGCAGTGACTGTACGCAGTACTATCAGGCGTCTGAGGGAGGCCACAGAGAGCTAGGTTACTCATGTTTTCTCTAGTCATCTTAAACTAACCTTTCTAGAGTAAAGAAGTCTCTTTTTTCGCCACATTTTGTCAAGGATTAATCTGTGTTTGATTTTGCATTTGCATGGTCTTGAGTGGTCCTTCACTGTGCGAAATATCTATAAACACATCCCACAAATATACGAAAAGCTTTTAATGTCTATGTTCGTTAAGAACCCTGCCAAATGTTATCTACTAGATTTCAACATACAATTGTATGATATTTACAAGTGTTCTTTGAGATCACGAGTGTTCCTAAATAAATTAAACTTTTCATCTATCTGAAGGTTTAATTATCACATATCTTATGTGTTTCATTTCACTGGAGAATATCCTTTTATCTAAAGATTTTTAGATTAGGCGAAGACGTTGAATGATCTCGAAGGAGGAAAGATAAGTAGATGCTCACACCTACATGAAAACATTGAACATGATTGAGAAAGTGTGTAACTGCGTCTAGTTTCCAGAATGTAATTGCTGTAAATATACTAAATTTACTAGGATGTAACTACAGATTTATATATATATATATATATATACACACATTTATAATGAATTAAATAATGTAGTTTTATAAAAAAAAACCTTCAAAACGTGACAGTTGAACATAGATATAATGACCATTCTCTCCATCCATCCGATCGAATGCCTAGTTTTGTCTTTCAAGCTATGAGTAGCCAGTTATTTATGTCAGAGTCCACTTAGGGTGTTTTCATTCTATTTGGTTGAATTGTTGAGATGCTTCACTACCAACGATATTATGGACTTAAAACAAAGTGGATACTCCTTAAATACTATCCTGAAAGTACCGAAAAATACAAAAATCCCAGCAAGGGATAACTTTATTTCTTTCTCTTTTCTATCATTCTGATGTGTAGCATTTAAGAAAATTTCCATACTACTTTTGTGTTACTCAGGACAAGTGAAAGTGTACCAAATGCTATTCTTAGACTAAAAATTTCTTTCCTGAAACTGGTTGTTCTTGTACTTTGAACATATTTTCACATCTTGGAGTAACTATCCATTCAATATTTATTTTTATTCTTAATTTCAATCCTACTATCACAATAGTTGTTATTTTATTTTATTTTATTGTCTTTTGTGTTTCTTGACTATACTTTATTTGACTTAGATGTACAGTGAAGGACCACTGTAATTTGAACAATGATTTATTTGACTTTGATGAGTTCAAACATGATTGGAATTACTTCGTTGTAAATTTGTCCCATTATGTAGTTTTCTTGAATAATGGTGGTGTTTATAAATTCCTCATTTTACAATGTCTTATACCATACTTTGGACAAAATTTTGTGATATTGACCTCTTCATACTCTTGAAAAGGTGTTGCTATTTTCTTAGATTCATTCATAATCATAAATAAAAAGAAGTAGTAAGCAAAGATAAAAAAGAAAAGAAAAGCAAAGAAAAGAAAAGAAAAATATAGAAGTATTGAAAAGTATGGAGATAAAATATGCCTTGAGATTATTAAATGGTGTCTCATATAGAAAGTTAGGTTGGATGGAATGGAAAAAGTTGGTTGCTTAGTATTGACTTTTGATGTAAAAAGAAGAAAAAACAAAATGTTGTTTGATTGTTGTTGTCTAAAGGCAATACGGATGGTAATTGTCATTGTTTTTAAAGATTAAGAAAATATGGCTACTATCATGGCTAGTATGGATAAAAGCTTTTCAACAAAAATGTTATATCTTATGAGCATGATAAGAGAATTGTCTAAGAAATAATATGATTTGACTTTATTGACATTGAAAACATTGGGGTTTAGATTGAAGTGTTTGACAGCTAGCAATAAGAGAATGTTATTAGATAACAAAAATTAGATTTAGTATGGGCCACACCATTGTGATTGAAGTTTGTTGTTGTAAAAATTCATGCCATTGAGAAATAACAAGACATAATGACTTATAACATAGTAGTAAATAAAATATGGTGTAGATTTTTAAGTAATAAAATTCTATTATTAGATATTGAATCATTATTTTGTATCAAGATGTTTTTTTCTATAAAATCCAAATAATTAATTTGAGCTACAAAGATATATATAAAGGATTATAAACCAATTACAGTCAATTTTGTTATTGGAAGTAAACACTTTGTAGATATTTATCAAATAAAAATGTATTCAAGTTCAAATTAAAAAAGACTTGTTGACATTATAAGAGCCATTTAATATGCAAAGAGAGCCAAGGAAAGTTATTAATCTTATGTAGTTGGCTTTCTAGTAACTATATTCTAAAGGATGGCAATGAAGACTTTATTTGCTAATTTAGCTTGATTATTATCTTATGGATAATAATAAGATAATAATTGTATTGAAAAAATAAAATAAAATTGAGCATGGTTTATACAACTATGTTGATGATGGAATGTGTGTCTTGGTTGCTGAAAACTTAGAAGAGATAACCATATTGAGTACAGATGGATTTGTATAAAAATTGAACAACATCTTAGGCTCTGTTCTTTCAAAGGGCTTTTATTTCAATTTATTTGGTTTCTTAGTTAGTTAGTTGCCACTAAGATATACTTGCAATTACTTTAGACCGTTTTTTGTAATAATCCAATTAAGTACAATATTAATATTACATATAGTTTGGTATCAAAGAAAGTGAAAACTTTATTAGAAATGTTTTTAGTGAGGTTTTCTAACTGCTGATAATTGTTACAAGACTTGTGGTATGTGAAGATAATTGCATGCATCTTAGACCACCAATATTTGGAAATAAGTAACTTACATATATTATTTTTTTATAAAAAGTAGTTGCTTCTTAAGCCAATGTAAAGAGCAGGAACTATGGTGCATTGTTTAAATCCAAAAAAAACTTAACAAAGTATCTTATCTTTCTAAAAGTAATAGAAAAAATTGTTTTTTTTAACAAGTATGATTTTGTACAATGTACAATGCATTTGTGTTACTTGCGTGTCATAACATGTGGAAATGTTTCCACATAAAGATACTCAAAGATAAGATATAACAAGTCTAAATTTTTTTAATTTTTTTTTTCATTGGACTAGTTATTTTTTATATTAGATAGGTTTAGATTTCTAAAATTGTTGCAAAATAAAGCAACAACATTACCATAAATTTTATTGAGTTTGTACACAACAGTGAATTTAAAATCAAAAAAGAAGAGGAATTATTGTGCTAGATGTGTAAATACTTGGGATTTATTGACCAAGTACATTAATGTCATGTAGTTAATGCAAAAGATTAAAAAATTAAATAATTAATTTATTTTTCTTAAGATTGCATAAAATATTTCCTTATTTTTTTTTATTTTTATGATTATACAATTTTCCTCCACAAATAATAAAAGAGAAGAAACATAAACAATACATTGAATATGGTTGCCAATGGGATAATGAACTAGCATTATGATAAAAGAAATGTTCTATGCATTGCTATAGATGCGATACTTGATATCCTAATAGATGTAGATGACAATTGAGGCATTTGCATAATGTAGTTTGATGGTGTCAAAGGCCCTTTGGCAATCCTTTGACCATTCATAAAATATATCTTTTTGAATAAAATAAGTAATTGGTGTTATGATACTAATATAGCCGCAGATATATTAGTATATTAGGATCAATTCAAAATGTATCATGAAGGTACATATTTTTTGAATTGAGCTTTTGTTTGAATTTGTAACACTGTTAGAAATTAAGATTTTGTTTGATAATGTGCATGTCTACAAAGTTATAATTGCTAAATTTGTCAAAGAATAGGTTCATGATTTTGCCCAAGTATGCTTTGAATGTTTAATTAATCACTTGCTAATGTGTTAGAAGAGTGTTTTTGATGCTAAGTGGCATCATAATCCAGCAAAAAGCACCAAATCTGATGTTAAAAATGGTCTTGCATTGATCTTCTAGTTGTATCTTGATTTTATAGTAGCTATCAAGTTTGTCTTAGAATAATTGTATTTTAGAAATGGCAACTTTGACAACTTCTTCCAAGAACATAAATAAGTATAGGTTGTTGAATGAATGTACAAATAATATAATATAGCTAATACGTGCATTTTTTTTTCATAAAATAGTCAAAGTTATTATTAATCTTTTAAGATCTATATTTAAGTTCCTATTTATTATGTGTTAAAAATTTAGTAAATTTTTAAATATTTTATATATTTTATAAAATATAATATATTTATATTGTTATGTATTTTTTTTTTTTAAATATTTTATTACAAAGTTGAAATTATTAAATAAGAATTAAATGATGAATGAATTGATAAGTATGATGAAAGAAACTTTAAAAAATCAAGTAAAACATGCTAATTTAAATGATCACCTAATAGAGACATTAATTAGTGACAGATATTTATATTTTACATACTCATTAGTTAATATATTGTTGTTGAGTTTGATAATGATTTTAGTAAATTAGAACAAAAATAATAAATTTAACATATCCTTGGCAAATTCTTGTTAGTTATTTTCTTTTTAAATATTTAAATATTTAAAAAATAAAGAGGTCAATTACATTCTTAATTCATCTATTTATAATTTCACTCTTCAATGATTTTTTCTTTTATAAACATAAGCACATACATGCTATTGAATATAAATATATATTGAACACATTATGTTTAAAATTCCATAATATGTTAGTGAAACAAAATTAGTTGAAAATGGGTGTTGCTAATGTCATCACAATTTTTGCTCATGCAATACCAATCCACCATCCATCAGATGCCACCAATCTTTTTGTTATTGCCACAACTTATCAAACACTAGACTTATTTTTTAATTTAAAAAAATTCCAATCAAAAAATATATTAATATTTCCAACATTTTTTTTTCAAATTATTTAGAGGTTTAAATTGGTTTTAATTTAAAATAATTGAAAATTTAATAAGAATAAGTTATGACCACATCAAAAACTGTGGTGAAATTGGAAGCATCTTTAAAATGATAATTTTCAATTACTTAAAACTAGTATTGCAATACCAACATTTATTATTTTATTGATTATTTCAATTTCAAGTTGTTTTACTGAGATGTAGTTACAATATACTTTCATTGCACATATAATATACAGTGATTAGATAGAGATAATTTAACTTCTACAACAATATTAACTTTCTACACAGTTTTCTAAAAAGAAGCTAAGTGAAGTGTAGTAGAATGTTGTTCACATAACAGTAGGATTCAAATAAAAGAATGAGTGGGTAGAATGTAGGCAAAAACAGCAGAGATTGATGAGACTGTCAAGAGTAAATGTTCTACAGGAAGTCATTTGCAAATACAACAAGGAAATAACTTCGGTTTTTTGGAGAAATTGTCATATATTAGTGAACAGAATCGTTATCTGTCAATCTCCCCTCAAATTCATTTTAAACTTTACACAACATGCTTCATGCTCATTTAACCAGTAGGTTATAACAATGCATAGTGGGGCTACCCTTTCACTTCCTCGACAACATTCAAACAATATTTGTGTACATTTTTTCACCTGGGTTTATTTTTGTCAAAAAAAATGTTAACAATTGCACGAATGCTATGGTCGCTAAGAGATGGGTCAAAACAGCAAACGAAAACAATGGCAGAAGGCCATTTTGTAAACAAACCGAGTGCTACATGTTGCATGATCTGACAAGCTTCACTGGGAACTGGAAACCCTAAATTAAGGAGTAGCAAAAAGCTGCTTGACGAGATGAAAAGCATGATAAGCGATGAGTGTTATTGTGTATCTGGTATGGGATTGTTAGACGGGGACAGCGATGACGATGGCGCTTCCGCAAGGAAGAAGACGGTTATTCCAGCTCGGGGTAAGGGGAGATGGGGCAGGTACGATGGTCCAGTTGCGAAGACAATTAACCATGGATGCGGCAGTGCGGTGACAAACATCCAATGAGCACATCAGATGAGCGTGTGCGACTTTGAACATTGTCACTGCATAATGTAGTTTCTTTTCCACTTGTGCATTGCCACAGAATCGTTTTAAGTTATTCTGAAGAAGAGGGATCTGTTGGACCCAATTGTTGAATTCGTGGATTCATGAATCCTGGTGTCGCTTTGTCCCGTTAGGCGTTGTGTCGCAGATAGTTAGGTTTAGATTAAAGGGGAGGGAGGGATGTTGAGAGTGAGAGTGAGAGAGAGAGAGAGAGCGAGATAGAACTGGATTGTTTCAGACCATGGTGTATTTCTGAGGTGGTTTTTTGCCCATGCGGAAGAGGAGCTTGCGGCAGAAGTGGAGCATGCCATTGCCTGCTTTGGTGGTGGATTTGGTGAGCCCGGGCGGACGACAGGATCGGCAGAAGGAGGAATCGTAGTTGCCAGAGCTGCTGCCTTCGACGATCACCCCCAACGCCCGCCCACATGAGACACACTCCACTACCGCATGCGCTAGGCCGAACTTCTCAGCGTACGCTTTCGCCATGGCCGCGATGGCCTGCCCATGCGCCGACCCCTCCCGAACGGACTGGCTTTGCATCTGGTCCTTGGCAATGCTCGCTTCACCTGCCATGCGCACCTCCAGTTGCGTGCAGTCATAGCGCATAGACTGCACCCTGCTTGCCGTGACTCTGGACGATGCTCTTGCAGGCATCGCCTCATGGGAACCATCGTTCTCCTCGACTTCCTCCCACAGGCAGCTCTTCTGCAGCGGAGAAGGGAAGTTGTACCGCATCAGGCCCGTGGCGTTGGTGGAGCTGACGCACAATCGTCGAGCTAATGACGATGAATTTCCGGGAGGGTTTTTTGAGGGTGGTGACCATGCTGATGCTGCCTCCTCTTCTTTGTCCAGCAAACCTAAACTTGACGTAGCCGCTGGTCTTTGCACTGTGGGTGCCATGTCCACGGAGAAGGGCCGTCCTGAATGATTGACATGGTCGTGAGTGGAAGAGCTTCCTCGATGGTTGAACTTGTGCGTACTCCTCGTGTGGGTGCACGGCAACTCGGAGGCAATGAGAATCGCCCTCATTGCACCAGCGCCGTTACTGGCACTACTTCGGCTGCTGCTGCTCTTTGGTTCTGACCCTGCTCTTTGCCAATTCCCTGCGGTCCTCAATCCCACAGACCATAATCAAGTCTCACATACAATTTTGAGTAATTAATTCAAAACGCTGGACATGGCTTGAGAAAGGCTGCTCACCAGACAATGGCTCGCCACCGTCGGCTTGAGGACCATTGATCCCACCTGATACCCACTGTGCCGCGCTCCCACGTCTGGGAACTGGAGTCGCACTCAGATCGTCGTACTGACTATTCTCCCTGAGAGAGCTTAACTTCTTGAGAGCCTCCGCGAGCATTCTACGCGATGATGAAGACGCAACGTCCCCGTTGTCAAATTTTCCATGCTCTCGTTTGGGGCTGCCTGGGGGTGACGTAGTGTTGTCCTTCCACTTGAGAGGAGGATGGTCGTCATTCTGGGTGAGGGCAGTACACTGATCTGGGTGTGTGTCATGGCAAGGCTCAGATTGCTTTGACAGTGAGATTGACCTCAGTCTGCCATACTTCTTCATCTTGCTGAAATACGACTACTCTTAACGCAGCTCAGCCCCTACCTACAGCTTAACATGTTCGTCGACGCCACAATGACCGTGATGTATCTAGCTGTGCACTGTAGTTGGGTTAAAAGCACATAGAAAAAATTCTCTTGAGAGACTTTGAACGCCGGTGAAATTCAATACTGGCTTATCTCCCTTTGCATAGAAGCTCCTACCATTACGCCGAAGGAGGAGGCCAGAAGCTCCAACCACAAGAGCATGAGCACAGATCGGAGGAGCACGTGATCCAACTACATTGCCCAATGGTCCGATTCACAATCCGATTCGCGACATAGCTAGAGGGGTGGATCAGATGTGACGGACAGGGCTACTGAGGAGAATTAGGGATGAAAGTGAAATCAAGAAATAGTCGCCTAGTGTCAAAGCTTTGACACTGAGTGTGCTGTGGGCAAACTGAAAGAAATGCAAACCTGGCTCATGCAGAATTCAATACCTCATTGAGCTAACCCAACTACGTAGAGGCTATGAGTACTATCAGAAGGAGGCAACAAGTCTGAAGCGTTAGACCTGTGAATTACTTATTGATGCGGAGAATGGGGAGATGTTGGCAGGTAATGTAGAAAGTTTTGAATGCAGTTGGGCCTGAGTGCTGGGTGATGAGTTGAGGCGACGGCATAATGATGGATGATGGATCTAAGTTACTGTTGGTACTTGCAGGCTGAAGAAGCTATTAATTTGCTGGATGTACTGTCGTCAGCTTCAAGATTTGCAGATCGTCGACCGTCGCTTTGTTCCATAATTCCCTTGTAACACAAGTGGTGTAATTTTGTAGTGTGATAAATGTCGCTTACGAATCCGACAACCGCCGTTTGTTACTACTCTGCTTAGAGAGTCACTGTTGGAGATAACAAAAAAATTACTTATCCCCAGTTCAACCACTGTTCGGACCTCACTGAGACTTGAAGACATCAGTCAGACTTTGCAGCTGTACATCACCCCATTCCTGCAGATCCTTGTTGACTAATTGGCGTGCCCCCAGTACAGCCCCAATTTGACAAGTGAGGTACATACGAGGGTGCCCAGGAAGGCATAACAAGCCCCCTTTTGAAATGAAGGTTTTCCCCTTCAGTCCTTCTGACTAATCAATCAGTTCTCATTGGAATCGCATTCAGTAGCTCAAAAGCAAAGCTTGGTTAGTTATGAGCATTACTACGTGCCTCAGGCATACTGTTTCTGAAGGATATACTTTTATTTAACTGCGTACTTCACATTGCTAAGTCAGAACTTGTTGTCGGGAGGTCATTTTTGCACATGGCTACAGCAGAAAGCTAAAAGCAGTGATCTGTGGTAACATGTGTATAACCATCCACCAATAAACCCTTAAGGCATTCTATCAAAGTGCAGTGCACAACTTTTTCAGGTGCACAAAATAAATTAAAAACGCCTATCCAGAGATCAGGTCGACCTGAAGTTCTGTACGAACACTGTATCCACGCTCAGGCAAATCAAGAGACAATGAGGCAGCAGGATCGTCTGTGAGGTTACTTCCACTTGCATTATGACATCAACAACACAAAAACTCAATATCAACAGGAATGACTAATGTCTGTAATTTCAGCAGACACGAAGAAATGAAGTGTACTGTGCCTGTGACAGATCCGGTTGTAAGAATCTAGCAGTGTGGGCGTGGGTTGGTATCAACCCAACATAAGAATCATAACTGCCACGCTCAGAAGAGAGAGAGAGAGAAATGGAGTCGAGTACTAATGCAGAGCTCATAGCTTTGTGGAATAAATTAGCATAAAGACATGAACATGCTGGTAAAATACCTGTCCTACTTGCTCCTCAAGTGCCGACTACACTGCTTACAATCTACCATTGAAGATTACCACATCCGAAGCGATATTTAATCGCCTATTTCCTACACTCTTTCACCTTTTTCTTAACGCCCAAGACCACGTAAAAAAAATACATGTGGGTGAACTGAAAGCTGCCTGCACACGTCACTCATTTGCAGCATAACGCAACACAAGTACTATAATCAACCTGTTCACAGTTGAGGAGAGCAACTTACACTGATGTAACCCCTAAAATAATAAGATACATGGGCCGCACTATATTGACCAAGTTGAGGCCACCACTACTTACCTAGTTTATGGAGGATGAAGAATGGAGTCTAGGTGCTAGTTTTGTACAGCCAGCCTTTTCAAGTGCTCCATGAACACTTGCAAACTGACATCATCAGTGAAAATAATGTCGCCTCCAGGGGGCGGCCCATTGGCTGAATTATATGTAGCTGAAGGATTCAATTTCGCAAGTAAGAAACGAGCTTGTGACCCATGTTGGTCACACACCACTAACCTTGGCACAGGGAACCGCTCGTGGATAATGGCTTGTGCATCGTCATGTGGCGCTTGAAGCAGCTGAGCAAACGCCGCATGTTCTGGATGCCTGTGATAGCCTGCATTTCTCCATTGCGCTATAGTCATCCCATGGAAAACTACACTGAAGTATGCGTCCAACAGCAGGATTCGGTCGGCAGCAATGGATGATACATCCAGCAGTGCCGGTTCTGGAGGTGAATTGAATGAGTAAGATAAGACAGATGGCTGGATCATGACTAAAGAGTTCGTTACAGTTTCGCGACACAACACCATCCGAAAATAAGCCGTTTCATCGGGGCTGTTGTTGAAAACTTGTACAAATTGAGACCGTCGCAAATTAAACATAAACTGTGGGAATATCGCAATGGTGGGGCCAAAATTGAAGGAATGTGGGTCATCTTTTCTGTAATCTCCAAACCTCGAAGCTAAGCGAATAAGCGATCGGTCAAGCCACCGCGTCGCATCAAACCCATCTTCCATTTCCATTTTGTTAGAAGCTAGACGTGCCATGACCACAGCGGCAGCTTCTTGATCAAAGCTGCCAACTAGTTCCTCCAGCCCACCTGTCGTACCCGCTTCAACCCATTTCCTACAAACAGTTGTGCAAAGAATTCTCATGTCTCCTTCAGGGTGCTGATAAATAGTTAGAAACTGAAGGAAAAATTGCTGGCCAACTGCTGTTGTGGGCCCAGATTGTGTCGTTGGGTTGATATCATAAAATACAGTCAACGTTGTACTCCGATCCAAGCCGCACAATTTCCAAGCTGTAGTGCTCCCTTGACCAATCACAGTGTCCGAACAAGATACACCTTTCTTCTCAAATGATGAGCAAGGGCCAATAACTCCCTGAACCTTAATCTCCTTGGAGCAACTGACTTCAAAGATCCCATTGAATGACAACTGAAGTGCGTGATTTCCCGATTCGAACACCCGTCTAAACGAATCTTTGAATATAGAATGGCCGAAACTTTCGGCTAAGACAACTAAACCGCCTGTCCTCTCAATTGCCACCTTCATCTCTGCGATCCCAACCTGCATTGTGCACTTGATCAGATAAAGATAGATAACATTCCACCTATTCCATAGCATTGAGAAATAAAACACTGACAAATAAAAAGGCGAATCCTATCGTCCACGAGAGCAAATACATCAGCACTTCAGGCTACATTCAAAGGATCCAATGACTGGAATTTCGAACTAAAATCGTAGAGATAGTAACAATCGGTATTACACAATCAAGGGTGCAAACCAAGCGTCGACTGGAATTCAAGAGTAGTGTATTAAATGTCATGAATTAATGCATGTCAAGTAAACTTTAACCAATTTGGTCCTGGTCATGATTCCGTCTTCTGTTCTCAAAGTTTGAAGTAGAGAAGAAGAAAAAAAAGAAAAGAAAAGAAAAGAAAAAAGACCCGAGGTGTGAAACAGTTTCTATAATTTTCATCGAGCAGACAAGGCCCAATTCTAAAAGAGAAACCTGCGTCAATGGAGCGAAGGATAGCAAACTAATTCCGATTCCTGAAGCTGAAAAAGCAAAGAAAGAGACTCACCTGATCAAGAGCACATGCGAAAAGATCTAGGACGTGTCCTTGCACTACCAGCTGCTTCGCCAACCCTTCATAGAATTTGACGGCCTTGTGGTAAAATGGCACAGTGTCCATGTCAATATCCTCATGCGATCGAATGGGATCGGAAAGCTCTTTGGAGACAATAATTCCAGATCCCACAGTGCAGGGTCCTCCAACAAAGGCCATAATTCGAGCTCCAGTCCCCGGAATACACGCGCCGAGAAGGCCTGCTGCCACTGTCAGCGCAGTCCCCGTGCACCGAACAGCCCTTTCGTCCGAGCGAAATGGCCACGAATCCTTCTGGAGGTCATCCAACAGGGTATTCAACGTGAATTCGCAGTCAGACGCCGGAAGCAAAAATCTGTTGACACTCGAAGCCGAGATGCCCTGGCCTACTCCGACGATCATCCCCGCAGGCAGTGGAGGCACCCCCTTTGCAACCCTCCTGCTGCCCGATTGGTAAGTCCAAGCTGCTCGAGGATTTGCTCCTTGGTCACATCCTTGGCGCCACGAAACACGTAGGACTTGGGGCATTCCGAAAACCCTAGCTCGTGCACATATACCTGCGCTCCAAATGTGATAAGCCCTACCAGAGAATTCTCTGGCACCAGCGTGAGCGCCTGGGAGAGCGACGCCTTCAAGTAGCCCAACTCCTCCTCAATCAAGCACGTATCCAAGAGAAAGAGAAACACGGGCGGCAATCCGCGCCCCCCGGTCAACTTGTACTCGACGCTGGCGCATTGCGGATAGAGCTCACCGGGTTGATTAGTGAGCGAGATGGAGGCGTAGTGCTGGGGAAAATAGCAGCGCTGATAGCAGAAGAGGCAGATCCACATCTTGGCGTCAAAATCAACTCGGCAGAAAGGATTTAGCACAGCTTGGCATGTCCTGCATCGCAGCGGAGGATAGGGCAGCAAATTCACTGGCGGAGCGGCGTCACTCGCCCCCTCTCCATGATGCAATGGTGTCACGACGGCTGCAAATGGCACGGTACACTTCGCCGCCTCGATCTTGGTATTGGGCCAGACGTTCCAGGGCATGCGCACCCCCGTCGCTGCCTCCACTTCTGCAAACCATTCGGCCATCAATTACCCCCACTTGGCGAGCGAAGTCAATTCCCCAGCAGTGATTTCGAAACTCGCCCTCTCTCGATTTTTAGCTCTCTCTCTCTCTCTCTCTCTCTCTCTCTCTCCCTCTCTACCCCTGCCCTCTGTCTCTATTTCTCGCCTCGCACCCACAAAAAAAACTTATCACAACAGACACACGACCCACACAAGAGCAGTGCCGATCAGGAAGTTCATGGCCAGCATGCCAAATCAACGCAATAAACGTAATTAAATGAGCAGAATCAGTATCAGGAACCAGACTCACAGAATCAGCGAGAGGGTGAGACAGGTGCACCAGCAAGAGCGGGCGCTCTGCCCAGGCTGCCTCCGACTCAGTCACGCTCTCAACCTTACCCTGCTCACAGAATTTTGTGTTTTTGCCAGTTGTAATGAATCCATGTATTTTGCTGAATGACGCTGTCATAAGTGAATGATTACTCGCGTTGTGTTGTGAGGCGGAGGCTTGATCGGTGTGTGACATGCACTCCAGATTCTAGTATTAGCAGTGACCGAGTCTCGGGACATTCCTGAGCGCGATGGCCAGGCCCTTTTCACTAAAACTACATTGTGCCGTATTATTCTAATGGTGTTATTCTTTTACTGGTCCATGACTTAGTCTATTCAGCCGCCATATGGTTAATTTACACTTGTTATTCTTGGCTGCTGCTACGACTGCACTGGACAACATTCTCCCTAGCCCTGGCAATTGAATCACCACGATTCCACTGCACAGCGTTATTCCTCCTTTCATAGCCTATTCAGCCCCCCTTATTCTCTGCAGTGGGTATCTCTCCAAGCTTAAGTAGTCATTCTCTCATGCGTTGGTGTGATGCATACAATCCAGTGGTAGCCATGCGTATCTCAAATCACAACCTGCTGCAGCAAACCGTAGATGCCACAGCTCCATCTAAGTAAGCACACACGAGCACTTCGCATTGATATTCGAGAACATTTCAGTTTGCCATTTGGTTCATATAATGCGGCCAGTCACAAGATGATGAATATACAGGACGAGCATTAGCCTCTTTGCATTGCCTGGTTACTCATCATACCATTGGAACACACTACTTGTCGGGGAACAGAACCAGCGAAATGTTTAATACCTCCATTTCATCCTGTGTCTTTCTTCCTTGGCGCTCTAAACTCCGCGGAACTGTGGACCAACCACGTTGAGCAGATCAGACCTTACGAGCTGCGAGAACTTACGTTTGTACTTAATATTTAGAGCACTAATATACATGAAACCAACACCTTTACAATCACTATCTGAGCAATGCTTGTGCACTTGTACACACGCGTCTTGTGTCGTAATAGTTTCCAAATTTATCGATACACCTCATCAGCTTACCGACTAGCTAGATTCTTTCTTAGGTAACAAGAGAACTGGTTACCTGCCTCTCGGCAGCCAGCCAACGTACACCGTAGCCACCCATAACAAGTATTTCAAATAAAGGAATTAAAACCAGATAAATATTCATCCACACTTCATGCCTGGTCAAGCGATGCATGAAGAAATTTACTAGGAACAAACTGGAGCAATAAAACTTGTATTCCCATGTAACAAAAATCATACAGGTGACTGCATTATATTCATGAATGTGGATAATATTGCGACAAAATGGTGAAAAAATTACACCAGTCCCAGAGAGGCTTCCCCACCAGCCATCAAGAGCTCCAGTTCCTACAGATATCCGGCAGCACCAACCTTCAACCCTCTCAAATTTCCACTTTTCAAGTTAGCCAACACAAAATAGACAATTTTGCAGGCGGAAGTGTTCGGATTCATAGTAAAGAGCACTAATAAAATCTGTTGGGTATGCTTAGTCGACATGCCGCATTCAAATGAAGCCTCCTTTCATTTTGAAGAACGCAAATTTCTAAAAACAGTTGCAATGTACAATATGAACATGTTTCCGTAGCAAAGAAGTGAAGTGCCTTAACGTGCATACTGATGTTCCATACTCTTAAGTATCAGCAATGGTAGCTTGTTGTCACAACTGTGCGAAGATCTGTTTGTTGTCTCAAATTAGCTGTCTCAGTACCTTACCCCACTGCAGATTCGAATGTACACTCTGTCATCACGTTGAACTGGATGCATTTATTATCTTCCTGTTAATCTATTAAAATTAAAGCCTGTTCCAACAACACAGTCTCGTTTGATTCCAAGGCTTACTGGCTACTGAAAGGAAAGGGCTCTTTTACAAGCACATATCAACCAAAATATTTTATGGATAATTTATCATATTTCGACATTGTTGGGAGGCCTGTGGCGCACGCTCCTTATTTACTTTCCAGTTTTTCATGTTAAGAGACATTTTCGAGGATAATAACCTGGGACTAACATCTGAATTATGCAGAGCTGAGGCAAACAGCAGTGACTTTGGAGATGGCATAGCTTATTCCACTGAATCAATTGCAGTTGGTATACCTAGTAAGGCTCGCACCTCATCCATTTCAAGTGCCTCCAACAAACATCATCTATCCTTCTAACACAAGGCGAAAATATTCCGACTTATTCTAAACGATATGTTAATGCAATCTAACAGCCTTGAGTAAAAAAAAAGCAAGTAGAAGCTGAAAGACTTACAGATCTATCACTGGAAGGGAAGAAGAGAGGGAACTTACATTGCAAATTTTGTATAAAACATCACCAGGATCTCTGAACAGGACGAACGACATGAACACCTAGTAACTTGCCTGTTTGCTCTTTTGCCTCGATGTGATTTATCTATTTATTTCTAGCAAACCTCCACACCTGCCACGAGAAAATAATCAATCATTCCAGAAACATGAGACATCAAAAAATGCTGGAGATATATTCCTTCACACAACTGAAATGACCGCTATTATTAACCGTTATCAGTACAACACTCAAAGTATAACGAAGACCAACAGTACTCAAATTTGAGCAGAGAAGAGTAGGGCTCCTGCATATCAATTGCTAAAAAAAAAAAAAAAAAAAAAAAAAAAAAAAGTGAAAATGAAATTAGATGCCTACAAAAGATCAAGAGTCGAGAAAAAAATAGCAGATGCCACTACCAATGATCAAATCAATTACTGTTAGAAAAGCTGCATTAACTAAGGAATCCGCATGGAGAATGCACACCTGCCTCGATTGCAAACCTTAAGAAACTCGAAAATCTCGGCAGCATAGAGGCGATCACCTCTAGTGCCAATCCATCCGCAACGATTGTTTAAGTCCAAGCATCCAGCTGAGACTTTCAAGATTCATCCTCGTTAGTTTCTGCAATGGGCGCCAAGTTGCATGAGAAGTACCTCGTGCAGATCTATGTGTTCAACGCCCCCACTAGATGCACAAATTGGGGATGCGCGGACAATCACTCGACAATCGAACCCTTCATTCCTTCTTCTTAACAAAGTGAAATAAAAAAAATACTGCACTTCATAACGTCTACGACCGTTACCTCCGCATCCAAATTCTATAGACCCCATTATTTGAAAGTACAAAGCAATAATCTTTCACCCAATTATAGAGAAAAGTGGTCCGGAACAAAGAAGAACAATTGTTAGGGTTTTGGAGTATCGTCAATAAATAAGTAAGCAGGGGGGCGTCAAAAGACGATCAAGGAATAGGCGCTTGCCGGCATCAAAATTACCTTATGCACGCTCTTCACTGCATTGTTCAGAATGCGGTGAGATGTGATTTGGCATCCCTTGAAAAAATTGGGAGGGCAGCTGGAGTAAATTGGACAGCAAACGAGGGATGTGAGGCAAGTCATGGGATGACAAGCAGGTGTGGAATCCAGCTCACTGAAGATGATTCCAGGCCCAACAGCTGTGTCCATGATCAGCGCACTTCACGCCGAACTCAACCAATCCTCAAGATCGCAGTTCTTACTCTGTGTGCACGGATAGGTTGGAGAAAGAATGTGCTTAGAAACATAGTTTAATCGTTACAGCACAAGCCCTCAGAGAGCACAGAGAGCGAGTCCAGTAAAGATTCCGGACAGACTACAATGCTAACTGCTTACATGGCTCAAATGTGTGAAAGGCAAAATCGGAGTAAAGAGAAGCACAGTTGGTGCACTAATTGAAAGGGACAACATGCAAGCGCTCCACCACATTCCCACTAGAAGATGTCTGTTGCAGTATGTAGACAAGAGCAATTGATGCCTACGGCAAACAAGTGAATGCATCAGTGCGGTTCTTCCAAAGTAGCCTGATCGGTGGCAGAGGAGATGCCAGGTCGAATTCCACGGTGATGTGAACATCTTTCGGGACTTGACAGATTTATACTACAACTGGGAACGATTTTCGAAAATCAGTACTATTTGAACCAGGTGGTGTTACACAGATGCAATTATGCTCTTCACAGCGACATGCCAAGGACCAAGAAATATCCTGCTGCATCATGATTCATAGGGCTATATTGAATAAATTCTTCATAATTCCGAAAGCTGCTGGACATTTCAATTCAAATGGCATTTTCTCACACGAATTAGTGTCACGCAGCCAAACAGAATGTCGTTGCGTCGATTCGCACAAGTCTTTCAGTTGTATATAGCCAGGCTCGAACTCATGGATTCATCAGACAACTCTGGTTCCAAAATAAAACATTATTTGCCCTGCATTAGCTCCTATTTGCGCGGGGGAAAGCAAGTAACCAAGTGGATTCTAAAGCATTTCAGAAGGACCATTTGTGGAAGATAATGTTAGTGCAATTATATAACTAATCACGCTGTACTACGTGAATATGGACGATAAGTCAATTGGGCTGATTCCAAATGACTTGCACCCACGATGCAAAACCGGGGACATCATTTTGCACAGCGAAGAGCATGTAGTAGCCCGCAGGCGCTACCGCCGCGTGGGGGGGAGCTGTGGCAGTGATACTGTACTCGTCGACGTCGGTAATGGTCACCATCCCAATTGCAAGTGCCAACTGCCGTTGCCCTTGCGAGAACGAGTGCGTGGCCCAGGGGGTACTCGCCAGGCGCAGCTGAAAGCCCCCTTTCGGCGCTGGCACCGTTACCGTCATTACGAATGTAGACCCGTATGCTATCTGGAAGCAAACAGTCAGAAATGCACACGTATGTACATCATTAGTAAACCAGCCTCAAACATTGACACACGATGCTTACTACAATCGAAGCTAAAAGGCATACCTCAGGGTTGAGCAGAGCAGTAGTCACCTGGGAGGGAGCTGATTTGACGGTGGGCCGCTGAGAATCGAAGCTACTATGCAAGTAATCGGGCAAAAATGCTTCAACTCGGAGCTCAGTGGGATATGGCTCCTTGAATGTGTAGAACTGGTGCGTGTTGGAACCGGCAACCAGAATTTGGGCGCTGGGCAACAGTACCGCCGTGGAATGGTACATCCTGGGAATGTAGGTCCCTGCTTGCACCTCGAAGGAGCGATCCGTTGGGTTGTAGATCACGGGGTTGAGCGCGGGATCGCTGGCAAATTCCCACCCTGCAGAGCCTTTCTGGGCTCCGTTGATGAGCAGCACGCGACCGTTGGGGAGCAGGATCATGTCACTCATCACGCGTGGGAAAGGCATGTTCAGCATGGTCCATTGTGGATCGGCAGCCGTTGCTTCCAGAAGCCCGCACGTCTGAGATGCGGGGTACTGCGTTTTGGGGTCGGAGTAGGCATTGTCGTTGGCACCCCCGCACACCAGAATGGTAGCCTTGGTGAAACCGTCGGCATTGTCCAGAGGCAGCATCACGGAGGAACCCTGCGTGGGGTAATTGCGGGGTTCACCTTCTATGGAGGGATACTTGCGCAGGATGTTCCCAGAGTTGGGGTCAAGCAGAATAGAGTCGCGCCGAGCGAAGATAAAGACATTGCCGGAGGGCAACAAGTGCAGAAACGGGTACAGATTCTGGTCGTCTCCGAACACTTTGTGGGTCTCCTGCAAGAAGGGTAACGCCACCTGACCCGCCGGCCGCCCTGGCACAAACTCGTACGTAAATACATTCTGGCCTCCCACCACCAGGATAGATCCATCCGCCAGCACCTGGTTGGTGGCATACCATCGCCGTGTCTGCAACGTAGTCGTCGAATCTTCCGCCCAGTCGCAATTAGCTCCTGCACGCGCAAACGGCGCTCACGTTTAGCGGTCACTATACAAAATGTGCCCTCTTCATACAACAAACTATCTGTATCATCGCGGGTCACATTGTACAGTTAGCCTGGACATACGAGAATGATTGTACCTGAAGCGCAAGGCTTGAAGTATCGAATTTTGTTGGACCCGTCGAAGTCCCCTCCAGTTTGTACAAGAGTGCCGTCCGCAACGACGGCTCCCGAACTGCACCAGGTATCGGTTTGGATAGTCAGAGGACGTACTGTGTTGGGCCCTGGCGTGAATTCCACCGAGTGCGCGAAGCAGTCATATGGCGATACCTGCATTGGTCCAGTAATGCATACACCATTCCACGCAATTATCAACTGAAACAATTCGGAAGGATAGCTCACTCAGTTCATCCTGACACCTGCTTTGATCTCTATCTCATTGGTTGTAAATGTGAGCAATCAGAAGGTTAGGTGGTGAGTACCATTTCGGAGGTGCTGTTGCGGCAGTTGCCATCGGCAAGCCTGATGTGCGACGGGCCCACGTTGGTTCTGTCCAGGAATAGCACCGTCCCGGTGTGCAGCACCACGGTGTGCATGGACGCTATCCCAGAGTCGTTCATCAGCAGCTGTTCCGCCCCCAACCATCATAGCAATAACTGTTTTTTACTCGAAAGTCCCATGAACCTCCCTTTCCATTCAGACACAGATCCTAAAAGGGTCGTACTGACTGTGACATCTATTTCAGCCCTACGCTACTATGTTCACACAAGCATTAGCTGACACTGTGAAGTCGACTTTTACACGTTTGGGATGACATGAATGACCAACCTGCCAACTGCCTGGGGCCGCCATGGCCATATGAATCAGAAGTAGGAAGACTGCGACGCGAAAGCCGTGCATGATTAACACTTTCAGGGTTACCAGATATAGCTGATGTCCCTGCACATGTAATGTCACATCTACAGTCAGCGTCCAATTAGTTGAGCTCAGTATGTGGTCTCTGTAGAGCTGATTCTCAAACCAATAGTATTATAGATCTCCCCACACTCGCACTGTGGAACTGTGATGACAACTTTATAATGAATTCCACCCACATTCAACCGAAGTTTCAATGAAGAAAAATGATCAGTCATGTGTGAGTCGTCTTGCATACCTGTAAGTCTGCTATATTCACTAATCTAGCTCCTCATTCAGCTCTAGAATCAATTTTTCGAGTAGCTGATTATACAGCTCAAAACGCATTTCACGAGCAATTGATATCAAACTGTAGTGAATGAGTCACTCTTGCAATTGAATTGGTAACTGCCAATCGCAACGTCTTCTCCACCTCATACTAACCCCGTTCTATATCAGCTGCTGGTTAGATTCCTCGCTCACAGCTGGAAAATCCCTCCAAACATGTTCTTACATCCAGATATGGTGGCGGTCAGTGCAACCTTCGTCAAGAACTCCGAGTGCAGCGCCTGCTGAGAAGACTACTGGACGACTTCCTGAGGCCACTATCTCTAGTTCAACCACATTCGCAATCAGAGACGTCAGACGATAAATAGTCTGCGGGTGCAACTCACTGTATCACCTCACCGACACGAAGCACTCCACGAATCGCAACAGTGGTCAGCAGCTTGCGGCCATGAAACGACTAACATTCCAGACGGCAAAATTGCGGCGGGACCACTGGATACCACGCTTAAGGAGCGAAAGCTGTATGTTGCAGACTAAAACGACTACATCATTTGAACTGTGCGAATGAGAGGGCAGCTGAAAAACCGCTTCAAAAGAAATATGCTACTCTTGGGCACGAGAACAAGGGAATGGTATTGAGGGAGTGTGAGGCAGCTGTGACTACCAATTCGCACAAGAGTCAAAACGACCTGATCGCCTCGGATACAGATAGCTACTTATGCTGGACTCCAGGTGGTGGCTATCACAGAATGGGCGAAACAAACATGAAATGCGACACAGCTGCCTGTATTACTCGTACTGCAACGCGGTTAGAGAAGTGGACATAAATGTAATGAAAGCTAAGTGTAGGGGGATGAAGTAGGGTTGATCTCAAGTAGACTCGTCCTGGATTGCTGAGAGAGACAGTTTGAAAATGTCGACAATGATCGCATGATTAAGTGACCATATAGTCTATGAAACAACTACTGCAGGCTACTCATTAATGAGCCCTTGTGACACTGCAGCAGCAGAAGTTTTACCAGCTGACAGGCATCCAGGAGGGACCCTTTCTGCAGATGATTCTTGCACTTTCACACTGACGCACAAATTCTTTTGCTTCAATTGACTTCGCAGGGGGAAATGTTGAATGAATATCTCGGATTATAAGAAATGACTCCACCAACTCCATCTGGCTTTCAGAGTCGAGAAAGAAACGTGAATGTAGGGTCGTACAAGTTGACCCCTATAATGCATAATGCATCTGCTATTCTGTCGGCACTTCGCCTGTCTGGGAGCCTTACGAGCCCCCCCCCCCTCCCCCCTCCACTGGAAGACTGATTCGCGTGTCCATATTTGTGATTTCGCCATTATTGCATTTCCAGTAACTTTCGGTGCACAAGTTATCAATTCCACTACTGCACAAGAAGATCGAGGTCAAGTTTAGCATCGAAGCAAATCATCGAATGATTTTCCCTTTTACTGTGATCTTTCGAGGTTGCAAGCGTGTGGGCGAAAATCCGAGACGAGACAATTATACGGTGGTTTTCAAGTCTGCCATTTACCACATGTCCTTATTCTATTATACTGACAAAACCCATTGTCATTAACGTGCCTGCATTTCAATAACTTACATGCTTGGAGCTGGCTCAGGATCCCGATCCATACACGCGACCCAGAACAGACCCCAAACCACACGAGTAAATATTTTGGCGCTAAGAACACACAGCTAGCCCTTGAATTACAGTCAATCGAAGAGAGAAAAACTTCATCTTGGCACACCATGAATGGGGCATATGGCTAGGGTTCATCCCCGTGCCACGCGGTAACAAAGTTGCGTGGCTCAGCCTTTATACGTTCTACGAGAATTGACAAGAATCCTGAATGAACTGGCTGTGTGGAACCTGAATCGATCGCTTCAATTGCAGCTGCCAGGGCGATAGGGATAGCGAATTAACACTTCGCTTCCCTTAAACCACTCTGACAACCTCTCTGATAAGAATGTCCCGCAGTCGTACTTCCGTTTTGGGATAATGAAGCGAGAGACTGATTGTGAGTAATTGAAGTGACGCTTCGCGTAGGCTGTCACAATACTACGGCGCAGGCTACAATCACCGCAGACAACGTTGAAACTGGACAACATCCCCATTCATTAAGGTGGTGTTTCTGTTTCTGATGTCGCCAGTCGACCTCGGCTCTTGATGGTTTGAATGCAAGGGCGCTTCGAAGTATGTCCGATCAGACACCGATCAGCATTCCCTTCGTCCCTGCTTCCCTCCCCTCCACTCCCTCGAAGCTAGTCAGCGACGAAGGCGATGAAGACGAGCTCCGTGTTGTCTAGATTTGCTGCAACACTCACTCTTCAGCTGCCCTCTTCATCTCCAAGTTTCAGGTTGAAGGCTCCGCTAAACTTTCGCTTTTTTTTCTTTTTTCTTTTTTTCTTTTTTTTCTTTTTTTTCTGGAGTCGAAAAGCTCTATCTTAACTTCCACTTTCTCTTCTGGCCGTCGCGGGATCTAGCTGAACTTTAGCTTTTTTCCCTCTTTTTTTCTTTTTTTTTTTTTTTTTTTTTTTGTTTTCTTTTTCTAGAGGACTTTATGGGTAGAAAATCTTCTTCATGGCACAAGGACTATTATTAAGGAACCCCTTTATTATTTTTAATATATTACAAAGCTAATTTTCCATGATTCAGATTGACAAAAATATCTTCTTCAAGAAATTTACAAGATTTAGAAATTATAATCAACTCACATAACAATTTCAATTACAGTGGTAACAGCCATTGTGTTTTGTTCTAATTAACACAGCTATATGAAACCAAGGTTTCTACCAGTTTTGTTTTAGCCATGCAATTTTTTCAATATGCTTGTGTAATTTTTGGTAGTAGTATTTGAATTGTGATTCATTACTATGTTGAAATATTTTGCACGATAATAATTAATATTAACACATCATTTTAAAATAAAAACTAGGGGCTCGAGTGTGAGTGTATGTAAGTATGTATGTATAAATGTATACATATACAAATGGATGTTAGGAATGTTTTTTAAAATAATAATTTTATAGATATAAGGTAAATCTAAATTTTATATTAATTAAAATATTTTGTTATAAAATTATTTTTCCATTATTTTTCATTATTATTATAAAAGGAAATAATAATAATGAAATTGAAATTAGTAGTAGTAGTAATAAGAATAAGAATAAGAATAACTGGTATACAAATATTCTTGTCGCATTGCCAATTACAACATTCAAAAACCAACCACAGAATTGGTTTGTAGGGTGAAGAAATTATCAATTATACTAATCTAAGTATTTCGATCACACGTATTTTTTAAAACTCACCATCAATGAAGAAGTCGTCAGATCCTCGAATGCAACGCTTGTCGAACCTGGTGTTGTTTTATTGTTTTCATTTCAGTTAGAGCTTGATGAAAAGGACGCAGTAGCATCGAAGGAAAGCACTGGCAAGAGCTGCTGCGTCGGCCCTGGAGTAAGGCTGACGGACCTTTGTCTGCAGTTTCAGACGACGAGAGTAATGAGAAGCCAGGAAAATTTCCACTGCGGTAGCTGAATATAAGGATAGTACAGCAAGTGAGCTAGCGAGCAAGCAAAGGGTACGAACGAGTATGAGGATGGATGAGCGATCGAAGGAGGAGAGGAGGTATCAATGCAGTGGGAGGCTCATAAATGGCGATTGCTCCATGAAGTGGACACCGGCCTACTCACTTCCTCTTCCCTCCCTCCCTCCCTCCTTATACTTACTCCACCTCTTGCACTTCATCTTCTCCTTCATCATCTTCTACATCTACATCTATATCTATGTCTCCTTCTGCTTCACCACCTGCGACTACAATCTGGAGTGGAGCAGCGATTCTCGCAAGCATCAGGAAGAACTCCAGCTACAGTGTCGATTATTCATGAGGCCCGCACCTTCAGGGATGATCTAGCTGTGTTGGCAGAACCTCCACCCCCTCCTACCTGACCAGGTGGTGAAGCTTTCTGACAAAGCTGGCCTCCGCAGTCGAAACTCAGCCAAGTCTTTCTCGATAAAGAAGAAAAATATTTAAAAAAACAAAAAACGAACGAAGCAGCAAAAGAAGATGACTAAAGACGGGTGGATGAATAAACGATGAATGAGTGAAACCAAGAAACAGCTAACGCCTCTAGAATAACGAATGTTAGTAAAGAGCTTCTTCATTCTCATAGAGTTTCACTTTATTCTAAAATAAAAATCAGCATAACGTATCCAATGTATCGCAAAGCAAGAATAAGTTCAGAAGCTCATCTTTGTCGTTATGGCATGACGATATTAACATAGGATCCACAAGCTTAAAGCTGACTCATCGTTTCGAACCTCCCAGATTTGTTGACCAGCCCAGTCGAGGGTTGAATTGCAGCTTGCATTGCATCTGCAAGTTAAACTTATCAGCGGCAAGCTGGAATGCAGAACCGTCAGGATTGATCTCGTCCATTCTTACGACACAATATCAGGGATTGCAAGGGGAAGGAACAAACCATGTATCACGGAGTAGTGCGGGCCAACCTGACCGCCCTTTAGCACGACGGCAGTGACACACAAGAGTGAGAGGATTCCGACCAGAAAGACATTTGCATCCCCTGTGAACGGCGTTTCAGAGGTGACAGAAGCGAGGCACCACACCGCGGGCAGCGTAGACCACGTATTTGTGAAACAGAGCCTCCTCTGTTAGACGATGCTTGGAAAATGTCGGGCACCTTCTCTCGTCGCATCGGAATCCTCGGAAGCACTCGCTATCGGCTGACGGGGAAGCGAGATATGAGTAGACCTTGAATCAACTTGTGGAAGCATAGCAAGCTCCACACCGATCGGTCTCGATGCAGCCTGCGGAAGCAATGCAGGTCGCATGCAAAACCTTGAGGCTCATCAAGAACAGAGCGAAAGCTCGCGTTGCATGTCCAGAAACTCTTCATTCTAGCAGGGTTCATGATGTTTCAATCTTCGTGACAAGCACGTGCGTAATATTCTTGTTTTAAATCAAGAGGAATGTTAAATCGACCCCAGCATTTACCGAATCGACCAGCAGTCCCCAGTTCCCCGTCCTGACCCCTTGTCCCCGTTCTCAGCCACTGTCCCTTCATCCCTAGCCCCTGTTCCCAGCCCCCGTTCTCAATGCCTGTCCCTTGTTTTCACTCCTATTTTATAGAAAATGATATATAATTTTCAAAATAATTTATGTTTCTTATTTGGAAAATCAATCTTGAACCCCAAAACTTTCAACTATGGATTTTACACATGCTGTATATTTCAAAAGACATGTACATTACAAATTTCAGCTAAATTTTTTTAGATTCCACATGTACACGAAACACAATCAAGTAATCCAACAGTAGTTAAATTAAAACAAGGTGTATAATATTCTAATTGCAAATACAAGATTGCAATGCAACATCAACAACGTTTTAGTCACAAAACAATTTAAAAGGACAAAAAAAAAACCTCTAGCCAAGGTTATTGTTGTCATTTACAGTGATAAGGAATAGGGGATGGGCATTAGGGAACAAAAATATATCTGAAACAAATAATTGTTTTCTTTGTTTTTACTATCATAATTATTGTAGGTTAATATAATAGACGATTCTTGTAAACATGCTCACACACATTTATAATGCAAACAGATGTTCTGTAATGTTTTCTCAGATATTGATTTAAAAAAAAAAAAAAAAAAAAAAACTATAAACCTCATTTGTGAAACATCTTGAGTTGAATTTTAATAGAGAATCCCATTTTATTAGATGCTCAAACAATGTAATTTATATTTATAATACATATTTTTATTAGTTCTTTAAAATAATGAAGTCTCAATAAATACACTTAACTGATACTTTATATATATTTTGAATCAAGACCATAAAATTCATGTAGTTATATTTATATTTCTCGTTTGTTGCACTTTATGCTAATATTTATTTTAGTGTTTGTTTCTTTTAATTTTTTTTTTTTTTTTTTGGTTAGTTAATTTATTCTTTGTTTGATATGAATGAAATAGATTTGTATGATTCTTGGATATATTGTTTGTATTGTGATTCATCACTAAGCCACTTATTCTTATACATAAAGACTTGATATAACATAATATTCCTAGAGCAAAGCCACCCAGTGCAAGCACTCTGTTGTAATTACGATCAAATTTATGTCCAAGAAATTATAGTATTTCAAATCATTTTGAATTCGTGGATGATAAGAAACACATTATCAAATCTAATTAATTTAATTAAATACGTCATTCTTACATTCTTTAAAGAATTTCCCTACAATCGCAATGGGAAACTGACACATTCAAGAATCAGGAAATTCTTCATTTGACATAAATATTGTTAAATTGAATACATAAATGAGGATAATTCTGGAAATTTACTTCACATTGGGGGGGGGATGTACGTGGATAACACAGTCATGTCTTATCTAATAATATAATATAATGGACACGATGCACACCGGGAATGGGTTCTCGAAGAGAATGGCAAGGCAGCAGCAGCAGCACTTGGGGAACGGCTTCACGTTCACGTTCCCAAGGCATGGATCGTGTGTTCCTTCCTTAGCTCTGCCATTTGTGAGCGTTATGCTCAAGCTTGGAAGACACGGAGAGGTTCCCGTGGCACGAGGGACACACGTCAGCGCGGTGACGGGGTATCGCCCACGGCGACGGAGCTCCCACTGGGGGACAAATGTGCAGCAACGCACACCGTCGGATGAGGGAGTAAGAGGGGACTTTCAGCGTGGGTCCACGCCACGTAGGGAAGAGGGTGAACTGGGGTAGCAGTCAGGGGGGGGAGTCGATCCCTTGATCAGGTTCGGAAGGATCAGAGGCGACGTCGGTTGTGGGCAAGGGGGGGGGGGGGGGTTTTTTTGTTGGCTCTGCCACACCATAGCCGGCCAAGCCAGGCCAGGCCCAGCCATAGCCACACAGCTCCCTCCTCCAGCTTGCTTACCGCACACCCCCGACCCTCATCGCCATCGCCCTTCCCCATTCCCGCGAGAGAGGTTTTGCTTCGCTCATCGCAGTGTCGTTACTCTCGGTGTTGTTGCCAGGCAGGAACACGTCGCTCAAGTGCAGCAGACTGCCGGGGTTTCGCTGTTAGGACTGAGGTCGTTGTTGTTGCGGCGACGGGTCTCGGATCGTAGTGCGTCCCTACCCAAACGGTGCACCATGACCGGAGCTTGTGAGGGGAACGTGAGCGACGGGTGCGTGTGTGGAAATGGGTTTGGATGAGGCATGAGGGAGGCGCTAACAGGAGCTCGGTTGCAGATTTGTATTGGATCCTTGCTGTTCGGGGATATATGGGCTCCAGCTGTTGTGGCGTGCGCATCGCGAGCTGGTTGCGGGTGAGTGTTGTTCTTCATCTTCTTCTTGAATAAACGAAACGTAGTATATTTATTTTTTAAAATACATTAATCCAGCTAGATTTGGATTTTTTTGATTTCTTTTTGTGATTTTGATGGATTTTGATTTCGAAGAGTTGATCCGAGGAAGAATAGGTCGCGTTTCTTGGTGGCCAAGCGGAGTGTGATGGACGTAAAACGAGGGCTAGGTAATTTGAGAGGATTATCGAGTGGGGTCAAAATGGGATTCCAAGATTCGAAGTCAATTCTGTCAGAGCTGAAGCGTTTTTCTCTGAGAGTTAGGTTTTCGAACCTTCATCTCCGTTATTGTCACTGTCGCATGTAGCCAGCGGTGTGTGTGGGTTTTCATAGTTTGCCTTTCGAATGAACCTTGTTTGAATTAGGGTTTATTTAAAATGAGATGCTTCGAACTTGGCTATTCGGTTCAGTTTTTCAATTATGATTTCCGAGTCATCGAATCCCTTCTGGAAATGGAAAATTCCGTCCCTGTAAGTGGAGCATATTTTCGGCTTATTTGAAGGATTACGATAATAGAGATTAAGAAGCCGAATGCTCTCTGTATTGAAAATGGTAGCATTTAGTTAATGAAACTCCTGGGTAGCTGTTTTAGTTCAATCATGCTGTACGGTTGGTTACAGGAGGATTTGGGTCACTGGTTAAACTAGAAGGCTTTGGCGATAATGTGGCACAACGAGCTTCTAGTCTGTCGTTTTGTTTGGGATGTGGGTGGAGGCAGAATATGCTGGCAGTTAGAATTTCACTACCACTGTCGTCTGTTTGTTGTATCATATACTGCTGTTTCTTTGTAGGTGAATTAGAAGTTATGAGCCTTGATTACGGTTTCAAGAAGTTAAGGTTGGAAGCCGTGCATAGCTGAATCTTTATCTGGATTGTATGGAATACAGGAGGCCGAGGCGTTATTAGTATGATTATTCAAATTGTGTAGGGGGTGACATCGCCCACTCTTTTTGGGAGGGGCGTGTTAAGATCCGGGATCACCCTAGGTCCCCAGAGATGGATTCATGCAATTGTGTGGAGCCGCAATGGCCTTCAGACGATCTTCTGATGCGGTATCAATACGTGTCGGATTTTTTCATCGCGTTGGCTTACTTTTCGATTCCGCTGGAGCTAATATATTTTGTGAAGAAATCGTCCATATTTCCATACCGATGGGTGCTTGTACAGTTCGGGGCTTTCATCGTCCTCTGTGGGGCTACACATCTCATCAACTTGTGGACTTTCAGTCCTCACACACGTACAGTGGCTGTAGTGCTGACTTTAGCTAAGATTCTTACTGCTGTTGTATCTTGTGCCACTGCCCTCATGCTCATCCATATCATTCCAGACCTACTTAGTGCCAAAACTCGGGAGCTTTTTCTGAAGAATAAGGCAGCCGAGTTAGACAGGGAAATGGGGCTGATAAGGACTCAAGAAGAGACTGGGCGGCATGTTCGCATGCTTACACATGAGATTCGGAGTACGCTTGACCGGCAGACCATTTTGAAGACCACCCTGGCTGAGTTGGGAAAGGCCCTTGACCTCGAGGAATGTACTTTGTGGATGCCAACCAGGCTTGGTCAGGAATTAACGCTCACTCATTCACTACGACAAGTTGAACAGCAGATCACAGTTCCTATTCATCACACTGTAGTGAAGCAAGTCTTTAGTAGTCATCGAGCCGTTATGATTGCACCTAACAGTCCTGTGTGTCTAATTAGATCCCGCCAAGGTAAGTACAACATGGGAGATTGTGTAGCCGTGCGGGTTCCACTTCTTCCTTTCAACAACTTTCATTCTGATTGGCCTGAAAGTCACTCTAAGCGGGCGCATGCATTGATGGTTCTTATGCTGCCCTCCGACAGTGCACGAAGGTGGCATGTTCATCAACTACAGCTCGTGGAGACTGTGGCAGAACAGGTTTGTAGATGGTTTTTTTTTTTTTCCTCATTGTTGTTTGCTGCTCGGCTATCTTGGTCATTCTTCGTATTCGCACTTGTAATTTCTGATGTGTATGTTCAAGAAGTATGAAGATACCAACGTGGATATACTTGCGGTATTGGATGTTAGACGGCCTTCGATTTTTTTTATTTTTATTTTTGTGAATTTTAGAAGCCCTAAGATGTCATCAAACTCTAACAAGTCTTTTCTATGCAGGTAGCCGTTGCTTTATCACAGGCAGCTGTGTTGGAAGAATCTAGGAGAGCCCGTAACCTTCTCGTGGAACAGAACGTAGCCTTGGACATGGCAAGGCGTGAAGCTGAGATAGCAATCTGTGCCCGTAACGATTTTTTAGCTGAGATGAACTATGAAATGCGTACGCCTTTGCATGCGGTTATTGCTTTGTCTTCACTTCTCCAGGAGACACTTTTGACGCCCGAACAGCGTTCAATGGTGGACACTATCCTCAAAAGCAGCAACTTGCTAGCGACCTTAATCAACGATGTTCTTGGTTTATCTCGACTGGAAGATGGGAGATTGGAGCTAGATGCTCGAATTTTTAGCCTACCAAACGTCTTCAGAGAGGTTGGGAATGGCGGTTTTAACCAGCTTTGCTAAATATTTGTTGGTTGCAGTTGTTTCCATGTCCAGTGCCGTCATTATCAGCTTACAGAATGGGGAATTCAGGATATTTGTTGACTTTGGTGAAAGTTGAGATTAAGGAATATGAATAGTAGTTGAGAGCTATGTGCACCTATCTACTCTTGATGCATTGATAATTTCGGTGTGCAGGTTGTGAAACTAGTTGCTCCGATCATTTCAGTGAAGAAACTCAAGTCTGACCTGTCTGTGTCCAAGGATCTACCCGAGTTTGTGGTGGGAGATGAAAAGCGGCTCATGCAAATTCTTCTCAATGTGGTTGGGAATGCTGTGAAGTTTACGAAAGATGGCAGCGTGGCTATCCGTGTTTCGCTAGAGAGGGACAGAACAGATTACCAGAGAGAGCCTCGTTCTCTTAGGGAACCTCCTTCTCAAGGAGAGTACATTCCGCAGAGAGAATCTCATTCACAAAGAGATCTCAACCTGTCTTCAGGAGAGCAATGTTGCTACATTAGAGTTGAGGTATAGAGTTTTGATGTGGATACATTAGGAACATTCACTTTTAATTATTCTAAAAGACTCTGCATTGCGGCTCTAAATGGCCTTGATGTGCAACATCATTGGCAACAGAAGCTTATGTAAAGTATCTCAGCATGTCAATTGTATATTGATGCCTGATTACTGTCTTCAGTTTAATCATATTAGTCTTTATATGGTAATTTTTTTAGTTTTCTGACCAATCCATGCTATGGCAGGTGGTCGACACGGGTGTAGGTCTGAACCCTCAGGACATTGCCAACCTTTTCAACAAATTCATCCAGGCTGACTCTTCCTCTGCTAGAAACCACGAAGAAACAGGCCTGGGCTTGGCCATTTGTAAAAGGTAACTTTATCGGTCATCTTTTAAATGTTTAAAATTTTAATTTAATTGAATTTTTTATTTTTGGATATAGTTTTTACGGTTGTGGGTTTGTCTCGGCCACAACAGTTTCATCATCCTCAAGTTGAGTCTCTGATTCTCCTGTCTTGGTCTTTTGACCCAAAGAGGTATAGACATGTTCTGGTGTGGAATGGATTGTTCAAAGATTTATGATCAGATCATATGCACATCCAGTAACCATTCTTCATTCTGTGTACTGTGAAGAGATTCTAAAAATTGGATGAACGGTTTGACGATGCAGGTTCGTGTACTTGATGGGTGGAGACATTTGGGTTGATAGTGAAGGCTTGGGAAAAGGCACTACTGTTAATTTCAGTGTCAAACTTGGTCTTCCTGAGAAACCAAGTGAACAAGATAAGCAGATCGCTCCTTCCCCAGCATCAGTTCATTTACGAACTGATTTCAGCGGTGTGAAGGTCCTCGTGACAGATGATAATGGGTATGTTACTTGTATTCCTATTGATTTAGATTGTTGTTCACATCAATGTATGCCCTTTTAATGTATTGACTTTACCTACACATTTCGATGATAGCGAGTTTTCTCTGCACGCTAAAACGTTTTTGCTGAAATATGTGATGCACATGGGCTTCTTCAACTTCATGTGTACTGACTTCTTGATTGTGCGTTTGATTTACTTTATCTGCGTCCAGATACTAACTTCATTTTTTTGCAGAGTAAATCGCATGGTTACTAGGGGGCTGCTCATGAGGCTTGGTTGTGAAGTTACTGTCGTTAGCTCTGGCAGTGAATGCTTGGAAGTAATTTCTCAACCGGGACAAAACTTCCAAGTACTACTGCTAGATGTCTGCATGCCTGAAATGGATGGCTACGAAGTGGCTATTCGCATACAACAAAAATTTGCACGACATGAGCGCCCATCAATGGTGGCTCTGACTGCAAATACTGACAAGCAAACGAGGGAGAAATGCCTGGACTTGGGGATGGATGGCGTTATCGTGAAACCTATTTCATTGGAGAAGATGCGGATGAATTTGACAGAGCTTTTGGAACGAGGCTCTTTGACACCAGAAACCCGGCGGAAAACATGAGGGTCAAGGCACCTCTAAGACGTGTTAGTATTTTATTGTCGAGCAGTTCTGTTTGTGGGGCACCTTATTGCAACCTTGGACATTCTATGCTTCTTCCTGCTGAAGGATTGCAGCAAGACATGAATCCCTTCAAAAACTGCTAGTAATCTGACGGTAGATTTAATGTGGGTTGTTGATCAAATGTGCAGATTTTATTAAGAGATGGTAGGTTCGTGCAGATTTCATTAAGGGAGTGTGACCTGTAGAAGGTTTACTCTCTGTAAGAGGTGTAGAGGTTCTTCTCGTTAAAGAAGTGTTCCATAAATCTGTTAGCATGAGCATTTTAGGATTATCCGTCTGAGAATTCTCATCTGTATGTTTAGATGTGAATTCTTGTAAAATCTGATGGTATTCTGTCAGGTCCTTCAAGTGATGCCTTGTTAGGTCTTTGTTAGTAAGTGCTAGGCTTTGGTGGAAGGAGCCTTTAGCACTTGACCATGATCTTTGTTAGATTGTCTCCAATTGTGGGAGATAGTGTATCATAAGCACTCTTCATGGGAGTTGGTAAACGGCAAGCGGAATCGTCAACTTTGGTCCTTGCTTGAAATGTTGTGTGCGCATAATTTCATAGTTATGATTATTGTGTCATTGACGATTATCTGAAAGAAACCCGAATCATTGTATACGCACAATATGACTTTACTCGTAATCCTAAAATCAAAAATTTGAAATTTTACGTACATCGTTGAACTTCTATTTGAAAAGAACGCGACTAGATGTTGGTAATTGTCCCTCTAAAAAAGAATATTGGTAATTCTGAATGTACTATTTCACTGGCAATGGATTTTCAATTGTCTCCGAAATTCCTCCTTTTGCTTCTGTCTTTCTTTCTGTACTCATCTCGAGCGTACACTACAGTTAGACAAAAACCCAACGCAGTCGTAAGCTAAGGTCCAGCGCGATTCCCATGATGACATCTGACATCAACACTTGATATCCTCACACTTGCGGCAAACCGAATTGCCAACTCAAATCTGTGAAGGATGTATCTGTAATTCTTTTGAAGATACGATTAGGTTGTCATATTTAAGCATAGTCTACAGTAGTTAGTGCCCCTAAAAGAAAGACGTCCAGAACCAGAATTTTACCACAGAGATCAAAGGGGATCTATAATCAATTGGATTGCCTCAAGAGAGAGCCAAAAAGAATTGAACTGCTCTATTCCTGGATTACTAAAGAATTCTGCAAGAGTTAGACGCACACATGACGGTCCCAATTCGTGATATTCCTTATTGCTAGGATGTTCCTCAACAATTCCCTTCACCCAAAACCTTTCAGCCACTATATTTGGTGCATTCACTGTGGCAACACAATGACACCAAAACAAAAATACCACGGTATGAAAATCAAGGGACGAAAAACCTTTATTGCAAAACCAAGTGCCCGTCCGGAAACCTTCACTGTGGGGTTACGTGAAATTTACCTCTACAATGACTACGATATAAAGGTCGTAATTAACTAAGTAGATATTGCAAAGAGGTCAGGATTGAGGAGCATGAGTATATACAATTATGTGATACAAAGGAACCAAGCTAAGTCGGAATTTTTCGTTCTGAACATGAACGTGATGCAAGCGAAGTTATAAAATGAGGCACTTTCGGTTACTCAGCTCCTCCTGAATCTTCCTACTAAGCTCCTCTCTCTCACGATTGGCCTGTTCGAGCTCCTCACGAAGTGCTTGTAGTTCAGCGTCAGCTCTAGACTTGTCTGCTCGTGCACGTTCCTCAGCAGCCTCACGAGCACTTTGCTCCCTTGACAACCGTTCCTCTAACCTTTCGGCATTTAATCTGATTTTAGACTCGACCTGTACAAAACCATGGTATCCACTTCATGTACCATCCAAGGACACCAAAGGGGACTCTAATCCTCCTGAACTTGAAGATTATTCTTATGCTAATGTCAGGGGTTTGAAAGCCACAATATGGTTTCCAACAAACAGAATGAATTTGCAAGTCAAGGTGAATCTAAACATGTGTAATTGGTACGCAAATTGGGAACAGCGTCGCAATGCATACCACACACTACACCGCTCAATCTAGTTGCTCACCATGCTATTCTGAAAAAAAATGACCATTTCTATAATAATACGGAAAACAGTAACAAGAACGCACCATTTCTCTGAGCTGTTTGACTTGCTCTTCATACTTATTTTCCAAATCTCTTTTAATGTCCTGCAAGTCTTGACCATAAGAAGCGCGTGCGTCCCGTGCCGCCAACTTGCTCTTCCCTTGTTCCGTCTTAAATGCAATCTCCTGAACATGTGGTGCAATTTTAGTACAATTTATAAATTTGATACCCTTCCGATTCATGCTCACCTGTCATTATAATTTACTGCAATGAGCTGCAGAACTCAAAACAAGATTAATGCACCAACAACTGCAGCCAATTTTCTTAGGAGATACGTAAAACAGGCATCACCTACTATACAATACCAGAACCAAATATCTAGTTCATATCAAGGTCACGTCATCGCCTACAAAGAAGGCAAGCTTTTACAAATGAATATAAGAAAAATAAAAAAATAAAACAACATGCAATCACAAAGTTTGAATTTTCAAACACGTAGAAGATGTATCATGAGTGGGGAAAAAAACCTGAGCTTCCTTGAACAGCTCATTCGTGTATGGATTATCACCGTTCTTCAGAAGCATGTCATCAATAATGCGAAGCAAGTCGTCTGTTTGCTTAGCCTTTCTGGCCTTGTCCTTGGTTTTGTTTTCGAACAAAACTTTCCTATCGCCGCATTTCTCAAGGAATTTCTGTCAGATCAAATTACAAGTTTATTCATCGTTTCATGACAGAGGAACCTATAACCATGCGACAAAAGACTAAGACGAGGATTCTGTTCAACTCCGAAAACAGGATTTCTGATTCGCTAATACTGTTTTTCAGCCGTCAGAATTAAACTGCTCCAAGCTGGAACTCGATGTACAGAAGATATGGGATACACGAGATTGCCATTGTCAAGAAGATTCCTCAGCTGCCATTTTACTCAGAAGTTTCGACTTACCCTGAGATACGCAGGAGCACCTTGCTCAAGAAAATCGTCTAGTGATTCATCTTCTAAGTCGTCGCCACCAGTAAACACAACAACCATGTAATTCACCACCTTCTCTCCAAAAATTGTTTGTAAACTCTCAACAGCAGCGATTTCTTCGTCTGTGAACCGATTACGCACAGACAGAACCATAAGTAGAGCATGTACTCCGTCCTTGGCAAGATCCAAACACTTCATAATCTCCTTGCCGATATAGTGTGGTGGTAGGTTGGGGTCAAATAAACCTACATATGAATACATACTGCCATCAGATGATAGCTAAAAAAATTTAAGGAAGCAGGTTTTAACCGACAATCGAGATCCGCTACGTTCTTCTCCTGTGAGATTCGTTTTATGCCGATGGATGGCTCAATCCCACATTCACAAAACCCTCCTAACGAGTTACATAGGTAAATGGATTTTAGACAATATACATGCAAAACCTTGAAATATGAGCACCCGCGGGTAATAATACGGGATATCTCTGCTGCAATAATTTCGGGACAGCACAACTAAAGCTGCCTCACACAATACATGCAAACCCCAGAAACGTTCAATGAAAGAACTGAAAGGTGTTCATTCATGATGTAATTAGCAACCAGGACTCTTCCACCTCGTGAAACAAAACCCTAATCTGAATTGAGCATGCAATTGTGTTAGACGACTTCCACAACTCATACATCAAATCAAATCGGTTCATCCACCCACGCATGCTCATCGAACGGTTACAATGGCTCTAGTGTAAAGTTATAAACATAAAAATCAATAAGCATCTTCACTGATTCTTATGGCTATCGTCATCACAATGGCAGTATCCGATGCGAAGCCTGGTCCAAATCGTCACAGTACAATCTCGGTCAAGAAATATGTTTCTTCGAGACTAACGGACAGCTCCAAAACCCACAGGTTCGGAGGATACACCAAAACCTTCATCATGAAATAGCATGCGTATCCATGTAAGTCGTGTGAAAGAACCCAACATCCAGAAGTCATCAAACCCTAGCAAGCCTAGAAAAAAGGGTTGTGCACTGAGATTGCACGATCGAAACCAAAGAGTCCGCAAAGAATTGAAGGGAACCAGTCGTTTATACCTGGAGTATCGATCACCCGGAGACGGCGTCCATCAGGGCGAGCAGTTTCTTGAACCTCACATGTGGACGTGACAGCCGCAGACGAAGCACGCGACCTGAAGACCGTGCTCCCCAGAAGCGAATTCCCAGTCGCACTCTTACCATTCCCAGTGCGGCCGACGAGCACGAGCGTAGTAGGCAACTTGATCACCTCCTTCGTCTTCTCTTTCTCCTTCTCCACCTCCCAATTCACGTCATCTTCCACCAATTCAAACTCCTCAAAATCCGATCCTCCCATCGCTCCTTCTCGCTTCAAACAAACAGGGCGTTCTGATCTTGACCGAACCGTCCTCAATCGCACAACCCTTCTGACCTTGTCTCGTCGCCGAAACTCTCAAAGAACCCTTCCTGAAAAAGGCCCAATTCCGTCATTCACCAGGCAAAGAAGGAAACAACGACGGGACAGTGCTCGACACACCAGGCGCAAAAACCACACACATAACCCAATCAACCACAAAGAGGGCCCATTCCTAATCCTCCCCTTGTCTCCTCGTCCTCAAGGCTCAGTCTATATTTACCAGCGCCAATTAGGCAACCTCCGTCGACCCAAATTGGAAAAAAGAGACGCTCATAAAAGAGAACCCCAAAAGAGACAATGCTGCACCGCCTCAATTATGATACCAATTACATCCCCGTAACTCCCGAACCTACGATTCACTCAACCGAACATGCGTGTATGAATATCCTCTCATCACCATCATTATCATCAGCAGCAGCGGCAACAGTATCTACACCGACCACCACCATCACCGCCGCCTGCGTCAAACAACACTCTCCCCTCGCTACAGACTCAACTCATACCATGACTTTGCCCGCCAATTATTCCAAATACAAAAACAATAAAAAAAAACTCTCACATAAGACAGAGCGATCCGATCCTCACGATTGCGGCAAAAGCAAAAACGCGATGTGGGTTAATCTCGATGCTTCCAGGGAGACCGATCAAGCGAACAGCGTCGTGATTTCTCGGGGACTGGGGCCGAGGATTCTGAGCACTTCGGGAGGATCGGTGCGCGATTCTTCATTGCATACGGCCGTGCGACCTGGTGACCTTCGCAACCAGGTATCGTCGGTGAGCGACACTGCCGCGTGCCGGTGGTGGCACCGGCGTGCCAATTCAGAGTCAGCCCGGGCGTGTCTAATGGGCAGCAAAACCCGGCCGGGCCCCATCCTAGTCAATTTCCGCTATCTGTTTGTACCCCTAGGTCGAGTTTGACCCGCTTTAGAGTCCCGATATTGTCGCATAACATCCAACGTGTCCTCCCCCTTCATCGTGGGCCCTATGCGACTCGTAGGCTGCCGCTTGACTATATTCCTGGGTCCCACAAAAGCTTTACTGAATTTAATACAATCGTCGAAAATCGATATGATTCGTTAAAAAAAATCATATTTAAGAAAAGATATTTATACAAATATATATACAAAGGATTTTTTTGAGTGAATTATAAGAATTATAAGATGAGAATTTTTCATTAAATTTTCATATTAAGAAACCTTGTGCAACTGAGCATGATTTGAATTTGGTTGGAAATTCCACCACTTTAAAGCCAAATATTGTCAACTGAAAAACTGAGTATCCATATGAATGTTTGTTGTTCCTTCTTACAATGAGACACAAAATGAGGCTTAAAAAAATGTATTGCATTTAGTGTTTTTTTACTAGCAAAATCTTTCAAGGTTTCGAGAAATTCTCATTTTAGTGTCTAGCAAATCTTTTGCTTCAATAAACTACAGTAAGTAATTAAAATCTACTTGTATCAAAAAACGAAATAAGTAAATAAATATCAGTAATTTAAACTTGTAAATTCATCATTTCCTTTTTATTTTTTTAATAGCACATATATGTCACTGTTGTTTTGAAAGATTAGAACATTAGAGAAATGAATATTGATTTGGTTATCTGAACATCTACGTCGATGGAATTTTCGGAAGCTGTTCATTACTTGCATTGATGAGTTCAAGGTAGAAGAAAACAAAACACTTAGAAATAATTAAATTCTCAGTCTCCTCCTCACGGAATTGGGCCTGTAATGTTGTAACTCTTGATAACTCATAATTTTCCGAAGATTGAAGTTCCAAAACTGGCGAAGTCTGCTTCATAAAATGGAAAGTCTAAATCGTTCTGATGAATTAATTTTCACTTCCACTCAAAACTCATCTGACTGTATTTTCGAATAAAACCACTTCAATTTCTGAACTATCTTATGCTATGATGCTTACAACTCAGTTTGTGGTAGCGAACTTTGTCATATTTGTGTGCAAATGGCATATTTCATCATCCCTCCGTTAAGTTGGATGCATTTAGGAGAACTATGAATACTAATGATCTTGCAATGTTGTATTTGTGGTGGCTAATCCCCTCCAGCCAAGATGCAACACCCATAATTTAGTAGTAAATATATTCTATATACTACACATTTGTGTGCCCTCTTTAATATGTACATACACATGTATTTTCCTCAAATTCGCAGGTTTAGGAAACAACTTCAAAATAAGTAAACAAGACAGTTGGTATGTTGATGATCCTTAACTTTTTTTAAAAAAATTAAAATTAATAACAAAAAATATAGTAGTGTCTGTCTATTTTTATTCAAATCAGTTCTTAGCCTTGTTAAATGTTTGAGATTTGAATGCTTCAAATAAATAGTATTTGTATATGTTTATATATTTGATGAAAGTATATTCACTGGTATGCTCTTTTCTCATTCATCAAACTTGTTACAAAACTGGGAATGGTTTTAGTGGTCAACTTTGCTTAATCCTCGCAATGTGTAACAAGGTTCAACATTGCAGTTGACAGTGATCTAATTTTAATGGCCTTCAGATCTAATCATTGGCGGATGCTGTGACGATAACAACAGGCACGAACGCCGTCGAAGTGGTGATGCGAGCAAATCTACAACACCAGCTCACAACTCATAACCAGTCACTTGAGACCGAGCCACCACATAATACTGCAAAGTCCTCAGCTCGCATCAGCACTGTTGACGACAATGTGAGGGAGGTGTTGTAAAAAGGATATCTGCTGCGATACCTCAGTAAGAAGTGAACGAACATTTCAAAAGCACGGTTTGCAGGGCCCCGCGATGGCTGGAGTAGCATGCCGAGGCAGGATCAGGTCGCAATGCAGCGTTACTTCAGCGAGGATGGGTTTGAGATGCAGACCGCTCTTAGGGTTTGGCAGTGCCACAGTCCAAGTTATCTTCAACCTGCCCTGGCCAGGCTCCACTTCAGTGCTGCTGCGGCCTGTTGGGTCTCGCGAGCTCGCCCTCGATATTCTCTGTTCATATACAACTCAGGTTCCAAATACTCATTCGATCGGCCTTTCAAACGCAGATCCGAGTCATGATCGCTTCCGAGAGGTTTGCAGGAGCGCACAGCATTGTCTTGTCTGGCTGTTGACAGTGGTGTTGCACCGATTATTTAGATTCCTTTACTTCGAACACCTCATCTACAACATCGAGTTCTGAGACGGTGCCCCATCTACAAATGGCGGAAGCTGTGGCGTTAGCCGTCCTGCAACCACTGGTGGGGAAACTTCTGTCGGTGATGATGAAGGAGGTGGCGCTTCCGGAATGGAACCGCAACAAGCACGCGGAGGAGCTGCAGACGATGCTGATGGAGCTAAAGCCGATGGTGGATAACATTAATCCATCTACCGCTAACCGAGCGATGGGTGATTGGTTGAAGGGTTTGCGCACGAGGTTAGACTGCTTGAAACACCTGCTGCTTGACATGAAAGGGAATCGTTTCACTATTTCTCAGTTCAAAAATTCAAGGAAGCTGGTGAAGGAGAAGGAGCTGCTGAGAAAAATTCTATCACAAGCTTCAGTTGTGGTGTTGGCAGTGACCTCGGTGACTTCTGCGAATGTGACAAGGCTGCGCGAAGAAAACAATGAACGACATGAGGGGCTTTGCTCCGGGATCGAGGGACTGCTGAAGTTGGCTGATGCTACCAAACGGGCACTTGACAAGTCTCAATACGAGTACAGAAACCCAGAAGATTTGATGGCTGCGATATCGTCTATCACAAGTGAAGCGGATGCCATCCACTTGACTTCCACACACACTAGAGCTTTGCCAGAAGCCTCCACCTCCACTGACATGCCGCGCGGAGTGGACAGCGAGACGGTGTTTGGAGGAGATGGGAATGTGGAAGAAGCAAAGAAGTTGTTACTGGACCAGAACACGCACATGGTAGGGTTCAGGGCATCAGGCGGGGCCGGGAAGACGCTTGCCGCTCAGCGAGTCTTCGATGACGACGCCATCCGAGCGCACTTCACAGGAGGCTGCTTCTGGTTCACTGTCGGTGGAGACTTGTCGGTGCGGAGCCTCTTCCTAGCCCTCGGAGAGAAGATCACTGGTCCCTCAGAGGTTCGCGAGAACATTCCCATGGAAGATTTGACAGCACAGCTACGTAATGAGCTCAAGGATAAGAAGAACATGCCGGTTGTCCTGGACGATGTCTGGAAAGAAGATGTGCTACGCTTGGTGACATGTGTGGTCCCCTTAAGAGCGGGGTGCAAAATCCTGGTCACCACTCGCATAGAGGAGGTGTTGGACAAAAACCATGTGACGAAGCTCCCATTCGTGTTGCTAGATGAAGAGAACAGCTGGAAGTTGTTCTGCTGGCAAGCGTTTCGAGGGACGTCTCATGTGCCCCCGGAGCTGGAAAAGCTAGCCAAGGACGTGATGGGCGAATGTGGTGGGCTTCCGCTGGCGCTGAAAGTGATTGGCAGTGTGTTTGCAGGGAAAACTGATCGGAGATTCTGGGAGTTGTGTTTGCAGAAGCTGAGGGACGCGGATGTTCTTGACAAAGATCACGAAACGCAGCTGTTCAATCGACTGAAACTCAGTTTCGATGAGCTTGGAAGTATCGATGGAAGATTGCACGAATGCTTTCTGTACTTTGCTGCATTTCCAGAGGATTGGAAAGTCGACGTATACGAGCATTTGCTGCCGTTGTGGAGAGCGGAAGGGATTGTGGGACAGAAGTATGATCCGAAGCTAGAAGCGTGTGGGCTGGTGGGCGTGCTGGTCTCCCGCTCGCTGATTGAGCTCAAAAGCAATGAAAGGGGTGAATTGTACTGCATGGTGCACGATATTCTTCGGGACCTGGCGCGCCACATAGTGCAGCATAAGAAAGCCGTGACCGAGCGAGAGTGCCTGTATGAGGCAGGGCGGGAGATGAAGGATGGATTTCCTCGTGAATGGGCAAGTTCTTCTGACACCAAGGATCCAGGCAGAGGCAGGAGGACTAGACTTTCAGTTCGCAGGTTGTCTGTCATGTCAACAAATCTGAAGGAGCTACCTTCCAAACTGGATGCCCCGGAGCTGGAGGTTCTTCTGTTACGAGGCAATCCGTTAGAGTGTATTCCGAAGAAATTCTTCAACAATCTTCGCAGCATCCGAGTTCTGGATCTGAGGGGGACTAATTTGAAGGCGCTGCCGGAGAGTGTGGGAGACCTAAAATCTCTGGCAGTACTCAATTTGTCTGGGACGGATATAGAGACGCTCCCAAAGTCAATCGGGAAGTTGACGGGTATGGAGGAGCTGTGTCTTGATTGGTGTGGGCGTCTCAGTCACCTACCTTCCAAACTGACTCACTTCATCAGGTTGCGAATTCTGAATATTTATGGAAGTGAGGATTTGTGGAGAACGGTTCTTGGGGAGGGACTTCCCAAAATGTTGAGAGGAAAATTAGCGATGCGGGACCTCGTCGCCTTCGTTGTCTTGGAACATTTGACTGTCGTGAGTGATTTCTTTGATGTTGACTCGGTGCCATTGCCAGTTGAGTTGCTG